GGATTGTGTGCACGTAAATATGCACACATATGTAAATGTGAATGTAAAACTTAGCTCGTCAAACCAGTTGCTTGCAAACTGTTGATCGATTTCTTACAGTTTTTACATGAACAATTTCAAAAATGTAGGAGTACACAAACGCAGCGTAATCGCAACAACTTTGTACATTTGTGGACTTATCGTTGTTGTATTTTTTTATTTATTTATTTTTCGCTGTGGCTGCCCATTTTAGGCGTTTGCTTATCAAGCAATTTCGAAATGGCTTCATATGCATGTATGTATGTATATGCTTACGGTGCTTTTCATTCGTACAGCGGTTTTTGTTGTCCATTTTTAATGCCTAAATTATTCAGCGGCACGTGAATATCATCAAAATACGCTTATCAATTGATCAGCAGCGTAGCGGGGAGGGGGGGCGTGGAAATTAGAAATAAACGGATAAGTATGCCAAAAAAAAAGTAAAAGTATTAAAATTTCAAAAATGTCAACATCATTAGAACAACCTGAATTTTAAATGCATTAAGCTTTATGATCTTGACAAGATTGCAGATCTGTGAAATGAGTGCCTGAGTGCACGAGCCGCCCGTTGCCCCTGGATGAATTAATGACAATTGAATTTGATTTAGGTGGGTGCAAAATTGAGAGTCAGCCCACCAAAAAGATATGCATAAAACTTTCCAGGCCGCCGGATGCGAGCTTCTCAGCTGACGTCGCGTTGGCGCGTGCAACCTTAATGGGTAGGGGAGGGGCGCAGTGGTTGCTTGGCGATACCAATTACCATTTACACAAACACGCATGAGTGTGTGTATGTGTATTTATGTATGCAGTACATACATACATACATATGCATTAGTATACAGTGTTGAGTAAGGTTGGCGTCTGGCCATTTTACACAGTCAAAGTCGAAGTCTACGTCAAAGCTAATGGCAAAAATCACTTCGCTTGGCAACAGCGAAACAAAGACAAAAAATATTTGTGCATGCATATGTATGGCTAACAGGTGATGTGTGCATTACCAATGACCTGTTGGGCGCGACGGTCACACCGAAAGTTTCTCAACCTGCTACCAGCAACTGGGTAAACTTGCCCGAGCACCCCGCGAACCTAAGGCGCCACTGAGAAGTACCCACCACACACACACATACATGTGCACATGCACATATGTATAAGTGTATATGTATGAGTATAAAGCACTCGAAAATACAGCAATTTAGCAAAACAGCAGATAAGGTGTAGCAAAACAAAAAAGGCAATAGTAATACTAATACATACAAGCACAAAAACTTATACATATATATACTATATTGTACGTGTACATTTAAAAATAAACTATTTAACCTTAGATATGTCGTTGCCATAGTGACGTTAATTCTACATGGAGATAAAAACAACAACATTTTGCAATGCACTCTCGAGCACTTGGCGAGAACAAAGCAACACAGAACAGATGCCGAAGATAAAATACCCTTGCTGTTGACACTTCACCTGCGGTATATTTCTGTATATACATGTACACATATATTTTCATACAAAAACTCAACTTCCAGCAGTTTGTTATTGTTGTAAAATTCTTTGAAATATAAAAATGCTGTAGAACTAGAGTCAAGATTCTTAGAGTGTTTTATCAAAGAACTCAATTTTTAACAGATTGCTCCGATATGTAAAGTTTTATTTAAGATATCTTCAAAACCGAGCAATAGAACGATAAATCGATCGGAGATGGACCCGTCAACGCATCACATTTCGTGACAAAGTTATAATGCCCATTACAAGGGTATAAAAAGATTGATGCGCGCACTTATTGAGGAGGCACAGGGGCGGACGGGAAATGTAATCGCGCCTTTTTACTAATTTTGTTGTTATTGCTCAATGCTGGCAGTTAAGTGCAGCTCGGACTTGACCGGTAGCAGCCGCAGCCGCAACCACAACAACTCTGACGCTTATTATACAATATTTAATTGCAACAAACAAACTACACTTAGGAAAAGCGCCAAGCAAAAGCAATAGAAACCGCCTGAAACAGGCGCCAATCAGTTAAGGCTTTGGCATTATCTTATCGAGAGAAAAGTTCAAAAATAAACTCAGCTATATGCCATATATACTTAGAAGTTAGTTATGTATATAGATACGCACGTGATGGATCAGTTGAAAAGCTGCACACGATCTTAGTGCATCTATGTTTATGATAGTTTCTCGGCTGGACCAATGCCAAGTTTAAAGGTGATTTGTAGGGCAGCTTCTATAAGCCATTATTACTATTTACATATTTTATATTTCTATTTGTAAACATATATATATATATATATATAATCAAGATCAGTCAGCGCTGATAATCTGCTTTTGTGCCAGTCTCGTGATCCAGTGACAATCTTGGGAAGGCATGTACACTATATAAATAAATGAACAATTTGTATTCTGATTAACAATTTCGTTTAATTTAACATATTTTCCTTTATGCGTTTTGCTTGATGTATACCAAATGAATATGTATATAGTATATGTATAAATTTGATTAGGATGTATAACCTTGCAGTTTCTGGAACCAATAAATAACAAAGCGCGACATTACAAATAGTTAGAATAGAATGCATTGTATATTGTTTACAAATGTTTCTGCAGCTGCTTTTATTCTCTCTCCCTTGCTATATACAAATTATCAAACAAATATGTACGATATTTTGTTCAACTAATTTTTAAGTCTTTCGTTTGACACATACATACACATTTAGTTAAGCTAATAGTTTTTTTTTCTTCTTCTCTTTCTATCTTCAGATAGTTACAAAACTCTCGTATTATTTTTGATAAACAAAAGGCAACTCTTACTGGGACTTAAAGCTAAATTTGATGAAATTTACAATCGCTTTCAATATTTACGTGAGGCATTTACAAAAATGTTAGCTTAAAAACATAATCTATGCATGAACATCATTTGATACTTGTATATACATATATATGTAGTTCCAATCGTATTTGAAGGCACATGAACAAAGTGAAAATTAAACAAACAAGCGATTAGTACGCTCCGATCTAATGACATATATGTGGGAGTGGGCGTGGGCGTGGGTGTTCGTATTTTAATCGTTGCACTGAAAACGTGAAACGGGATGAGCTTCCTACTTGATAGCTATACAAAACTAGAGCCCATATAATTAGCCTATATCTAAATATATGTTTCCTATGCTGCAATGAGACATGTAGTTAATAATATCATAATAACTTAAAGCCAGTTTAAACAAGTATAAAAGCCAAACAAAGAGCCTAACACTGATGCAGATGATTAGTATGAACTATTATTGAAAAGATTCTCGTTCGCGCTCGCTGTTCAATTGCTCATCTGAAGGCCGCCACTGCTGCGGCTGCCCGTGGATGAGGAGCCGCTCAGTCCGAATTGTGAGACGAGCTTATCGTAATCCTCCAGCGATGTCTCAAATTGTTCCAGCTGGCGCGACAAATCATCCATGCTCCCATCGGCTGTGACTGCGGCTGTGCTGGCCATGGCAGATGCCGCTGCTGTCGCGGATGCTGCTGCTGAAGCGCCACAGCTGGCTAAGTTAGGCACTTGCAGCTCGCTGAGGCCACGCAGTGGCGGCGCATGATAGCATTCCCGATAGAATTTGGCCAGATCGTTGACATGGGATGTGGGCGAGGCGAAGGGAAAATGCAGCTCCTTGAGCAGACTATCATCATCTGGCGGGGGCTGTTGTGCTGGCGCCTGCTGTTCCTGCAACGTGGGTGCAGAGTTGTGACGCAACGTGGAACTGCTAGCGGGTATTAGGAGACTCTTGATTGGTGATGTGGCACAGGGGACAACAACAGTTGGTTTCTCAAAGCTTTTAAACGCTGTCGAGTTGTTGTTGTTATTGTGATTGTGGTTTATGTTGTTGTTGCTGCCATTAACGTTGTTGTTGTTATTATTATTATTGTTGTTGTTAACTGGCGATTCACATTTTCGATTCAGCGACTCAATTGAGCCGCTGCCGTTGCTCTCATGCCGCGTACGCCGCAGCATCCACTCAAACGGCGGCGTCTCTGGCAGCACAAAATCATGTTCCGTAAACTGGCGCAGCTTGCCCAGGTCTGTAAATGCACCCGGCCGCAATGGCTTCTCAATATCTATGAAACGCTTATCGTTCGCTGCTCCAGTGCCCGTGCCACCCACGCCCGCTCCAAGCTTAGCCGTTGCCAACTGCTGCGTAGGTGAACTGACATCGCTGGCGGGCCGAAAGTGATCTGACTTTAGCATAATAGTATTTTGCTGCTCTCCTTGATGTGCTGCCGCCGTCACCTGATGACCAGCCGTAGGTGAAATGGTCAGCTTGGTGCGGTAGGCAACCGACATGGTTAGAGAACCCAAAATCGTATTGAGCTGCCCAATCTTGACCTGTTTGTGCCCCTCGCCCAGTGTATGCACCTTCGGTCGATCCACATAGATGAGATAGAAGATGCTATATGAGTCCGGGCACTGACGACGCGACAATTTATAGGCAGGCGTCGTGCGTGTGAGCGAAATGAGGGACTTTAGCATAATGCTCATCCGATTATAGATAGCATGGGGAGCCTTTAGTGTTTGGCTGTCATTGCAGATGTTTGTGTTGCAGCCATCGCCCTTGCAATCCTCACCAGCTGCAGCTTCTTTTTTATTGTCCACTGGCAGCAGATCCAACGACCACACCTCAAGTATCATTTTGTCGCCCTCGCTAGTCTTTAGCGAGATCTCAATGCACAGGGGCAAGCGTTGCAATATGCTATCACCTGGCTTTAGCGCCAGGGCGCGTTTCGTCTCGTCCAGCACATCCGGGTGATCCTGTACGACAATGTTGAACCAATCGTTGCCGCCCAGTGGATTGCATTGAGTTTGTATCTTCTCGCCAAGGCGCGACTGCACCACAACTTGTGCTGATTTGAGCGCCAGGAATTTTATGTACTTTTCCAGTTCTTTGTCGACCGCGTTTAAACGTTGTGCAGACATTCTGACTTTTCTGATTTTTTTTTTTTTTTTTAACTTATAAATTCACTTTTGTGTACTCGCAACAGCGTACAAAGTTCGTTTTTGCGTTGCCTTTCCTATTTTACACTGCTTCCGCGTATTGTCTGTCTATGCCCATTCGCAGTATTTTGCGGAATTTTTTTACTTTTGTGTTATGTTTGTTCACTTTATCTCATTGCACTCGGGTTCGCGATTAACACTAGCTTGGGCATTTTATAAAACACTGCAATTTATTATTTGCCTGAATTTTTTGTCTATTATCATTTTGTTAAAACAGTTGTTCTACTAAATTCTTTGATTTTGAAGCAAAACAAAGATCACTCCCACTTTTTTCATTACCGTCCGCCATTGAACTAAAACGAATGCGACGTCGTGCTGATGTTGCCGTACTTTATGGGTTGCGTGGGCACCAGACAGAGTTGCCAGACAGTTGTCAAACAGCAGACCAAAAAAATCTAATGTCACAATTTAAAACTGTGATTTAATAAATGTATTTACTGCTGCTGAAGAAGTGCAGAATTTTACGAAGGCTTAAATAAATTGATTTGTAACATATTTCGGCAGCCAATTGCAATGTTATTCCACTACCGACATATTAATTGGGCCTAGAAATGTTCTATTCAAACAATGAAGAATTTAATATAAAAATTACATATATTCAGGTGCTATACACTCAGGTGCTTGAACGTATTGTCATTTTAAACAAACGTATTTGTTATCAATAAGTTTATTTTCTTTGGATATAGGTGCAAGCATTTTTGATGAACTAAACACGTTTTATAAATGCGAAATGAAATTTTTGGTTTTTATACTCCAAACTATATATCTCAATTTTGCATAGTAAGCTGAGAAATATTGCGCGTAAACAGCGATATTTTGTACTATACCGTGATTGGCGTACTACCCTTAAATTTTGTTTAGTATTTCTAAAAAGTACGGCAACACCATGCAATGTATGCGACACGTCACGTAGGCACAGGGGGCGGGTTGGGTGCCTATATTTGAAATGCCAGCTCAGGATTTTCCTATAAAGTAAATACCTTCATATCCATATTGTTGAGGTACAATAGTAAATTTAAAATAGCCTTGGCTCGATAGTGCTTCTCTGGTGTTCAATTACGCTGTTACTTTAACGTTTTCTCTTTTCTCTGTATGTTAAAATACTTCCGGTCCGAATCCGTAAGCACTTGTTTTGGAAGATATTGCAGCACCGAAGCCGGCACAGAACCCAGCATCTGCAAGCGCTCTTCCTGAATGCGCTCTTGCCGCTCGGCTTCTGCCTTGGCTTTTGAATCGAAGAACAGCATATTTTCAGCAGCTGCTTCAGCACGTTTGCGATTGTTATCCTCAATCATGGACAGCAGTAGGACACCATGCTCCTTCCGCCGTTGACGTTCCTGGATGTCCTTTTTGTTAATGCCATCCGGGCCCTCATCGGGGCACATAAGGTTTCTTTCAACTGTTTGTTCGTGCTTTTTACGAGCTTTTTCGATGTTGCGCTCATTTACTTCAGCGCGATAAAGTTCCAGCTCCTGCCGGGCACGCTGCCGGTTGAATTGCTCCTGCTTGAGCTGCTGCCGGTAGCGTTCATCGTCTTTCGCTTTGTACTCTGCGATCAGCAGATCGAACAACAGACTGTAGCGTTGACGTAGGCGCTCCTGCGGTTATAGGGAAACAAATCTTTTATCTTTCGGTGCATTCCTTTAGATTTTAGCACACTTACCTCAATTTCAAACACCTGATGACCCACTCGCATTTTAATCTCCTCTTGCTTACGTTGAGTTTCCAGCTTTGCCTCCTCCCTTTGGCGCTTTTGCTCAGCTATCTCCGATTGTTTTTCAAGTGCTTTTGATAAATTCTCGTCAGACTTAGCCCTTTGGAGTTCTTTGTATTCCCTTTGCTCCTTAATAAATGTAATCATATCGTCGCGTTTTTTGAGCTTTAATCGGTTTAGCTCCAGTTGCTCTGCTCTGTCTTCTTCCTCAATTTGCTGCTGCATGGCCATGCGCATCTCCCGCTCTGTCAGCGTTTCTACATATCGAAGCTGGCGTTGTTGCCGCTTCTCTTCGATTTGTTTTGCCAACGTCTTGCGGAGCTCTTCTTGCTGTTCCTTCTTGCGCAGTTCCTCCTGTTCTTGCATCGCCAAGTTCTGCTGTCTTGTAGCCTCGGCACGCTGCAAGCCCACCGCTTTGGCGTTTTTGGCCAGTTCTCGGTTTCTCTTGGTTTCCACCATGTGCTCTTCGAGCTCCTTTGTAATTGATGCCAATCGGAGCTGCTCAGCCAATTCCCGAAGTTCCTCGCATTCGCTGCGCAGTTGTTGGCGCCGCTTGCGATCTATGAACTCCTGACGCTTCAGTTGCTTAAGCTCGTCAGACATTAGAGCCTCTTTGTTGAAAGCCTGTCTACGAAGACGATTTTCCATTGCTATCTGCTTGCTTTCAAGATCGGTTTCGTTTATTACATCACAAAAATATTTGGCGTTCTTGTAAACAAAAGTATCGTCAACCGATACCATATTCTTGGGCCTCCCTGTGATATGAATCGCGGGGGTAGCGTCCCTCGCATCCATGTATGTCCTTTTTTGCGTTGTCATGGTAGCGAATCGACGTAAAAAAAACTATATAAATAGTGTAAAATAAAACGATGTAGCAATATGTATATTAAAGAAACGACTGATGCCTTAAAAGTGAAATTCATATTTAATTTAGCAACGATATTTTGTATGTTCGATATATTATTATCGATAGATTTTATCGGAAAAGGATTGATCAAGGTAAATAGGCACAGTAGGCAACGTTGATAATGACTGTATTCCCTTCTTAAGCAATAAGCAATATCTGTAATTAAAAATGTTTTTTAAAAAAAGGCCACGAGTTTGGCAATAAAAAGTGTATAAAGATATTTAATATATATTTTCAGAGTCAACATGTATATGCAATTTTCAGCCGTGTTACTTTGAATAAGCAATAGGGAAGTACTTCTTATCCTGCTCTACAATATTTTCTAGTACATCATCAATATCAGTAGTGGGATAACGCTCTACCCAAGACTGTATGTAGCCCTCATGAGTAGCATCATAAGTCTTTAATTCAACTTTGTCACCATTAATAAATGTGTTAGCCTGCACCAGAATAATGCGTGGTTTTTTGTGCGCCAGGCATATATCACGCCACTTGGCCCAAGGATGCGATCCGCCTTCGTTCACGTTCGAATAGTGTTCGTACATTTTGGAAGCTGCTTCGATGTCGGCTGTGGATTTATACACCTGCAGCTTGGTCAAGAATTCGCCCAGCGCTTTCTTGCCGACGGTATGAATTTTGCTACGGTCCAATGTGAGCAGTAGATTTTTACCACCCTCGGTCTCTTCAACGGTAACAAATCCTTCGCCAGCTTCGAGCAATACTTTCATGATAACGAAACGTGCACGCGAATGTGCCTGGAGCCACAGTTTAGATTTGGGATTGTACATTTCCAGGGCAACACCCATGCCGTTCCAAATAAGGCTAAGCCAATTGATGTAAATGATATCGTCCTGCTCTGCAGCGTCTTTAAAACCAAATATTTCCAGTATATCCCGCTGCAGAGATAAATAAAGGCCCACTGCCTCAGCGCGGCACTCTTCGTAGGATGAACCAATAGCACCGAATTTTGTATCGTACGTCTCGCCAGGCTTATACCAACTCTTAATAGGCTCGCCAGTTATGAGGTTCTTTACTGTCTCCACGTCAAAGTTGTGAGTACCATTTTCATCGATGCGGAACAATTTGCCACTGCCATGTCCCAACAGCTCGTGCAAACCCACTTGCACCTCAAAAGCCTTCACCTTATATTCCTTCATGAGTGTCTGATCCGCATCGGATAGAAAAGGTATGGGATCCTTGCGATTTATGTTGGCCAGCACGTTGCCCAGCGAAACATTTTTAAAGCCCTCATCCTGACGAATTTCGTCATCTGTTAGACATAATACATTATATATTGGCTCCTTTCTATTTGGTATTACTCACAATTGGGTATATTAATGCCAGCAGGAACGCCGCTTCCAGCAAAAGTCAGTACATCTAGCGACGTGAAATCTGGCTTTAAATATGAATCCTTCTCATAGGGCTCAGTCCATGGCAAATACTCTAGAAGTTTCTCGGCACGATTGACCAATTCGGAAAATTTAGCCGAACTTTCCTTATTGACCATGGCCACAAAGCCCTCGAATTCGGCACGCCCGCCCGCCGGATCGCGGTACGTTTCAATGAAACCAATGTAGGTCTCAATAACGGGTCCCTTGTCCTTGATCCACCATCTGGAGCCATCCTTATGCTCGGCCAAAGAGCCTTCCTCAAAGGATTTGACATAATGCTCAATCATTTTTGTCTCATTATCATTGGCGGCATATTTTTTTGCTTGAAGCAAATTCTCGTTTACACGTTTCAGCAAGGGTTGATAGTCGCCACGTGTAACGCGAAAATGGTTGCCATTGTACTCCTCCAGAGCCAGGGTTATGCCCTCCTTGCTAGTTTGCTCCACGGAACCGAGCTTAATGTCGTAAAATGTTTTTCCGTTCTCGGTCACTTTAAATGTACGACACATGTATGGCTCGATACGCTTCGTTGTCAGCCAAGCATTGACTATTTCCGAATCCTCCTTGGTGCAGTTGTCCGACCAATATGTAGTTACACCATTTGGCGCAAAGCCGAGGACTTCATTACGTGCTTCCAGAGCATAAATCAGATTTTTGACCTTCTCATAAATCTTAGACACGCGCGGCTCAGCAGCATAGGCAGCCGAAGAGCGTACGATCGCCTCAAATTTATCCTCCGCCAAGTTGGGCACTATTTTGCTATCACCCATGCCCTTGTAGTTGCCGGAATTGGCGAACACGCCACATGCGTAAACTAGGAATGCCTACAAATTTACAAAAGATTTATGTTATTTGAAACTTGTGATATTTTCACAAAAAAAAAAGGGTCCAAAGGAATGGGATTATAATTTTGATTCTAGGTAAGTTAATTGTTAAAATAGTTGCAGGACCATTTATGGATCATGATTAAATCTTAAGATAGTTGGGACTCACAGTAAAATCATCTTCAGTAGCGCCCGCTTTTAAGGCTTTGACTTTCAGCTCGGCGGGTTTTTCGGCAACAAAAATGCGATGCAATAACGAAAATATAAGGGGCGCCTCCGGGCTGGACTGGATGAGGGAAACCAAACCACCATCCCACGATGCCTTACTAAAATAGTGAGCGTACAGCTTTTCCTTGTCGGTTAAATTTTCAAATGCGTTTTTGCAATCCAAATCGGCAATGGGCTGCGTGTTTGGCAACACGAAATGCGAAGTTTTGCTGGCCATTACGCTTGGTTGTGGCAAATTAACACGTGTGCTGCAACAAACAGAGAAATCAGACATAAGTTAAGACAAGTGCTGAATGCATAACCATGGAATACCTGTAATTGACGGCTGTAAATGCAGATGTTGTTGTTCTTAGCTGACCGAAATTCAGAAGACGCGTTGCCTGCTTTTGGAAATGTTGCGCTACAGTGTAACTGCCGGCCGTTCGAAAACGTAATTGGCAAAGCTGGCCCAGTTGATGGCACCTACGAATTTTCTGAACTAGCAACATGACTGAGAATTTTGACTGACGATTTTGAAATATTATATACAACGTGCTACCAAATAATCAACCGAATAACTGCAGCACAACTGTAAAATGTAAAATGCTTTAATTTCGAAATTATTTCAAATATTACATGAAATTGTGATTTTATGAATGTCGAACAACGCGTTGAAACTGTAAAGTACACACATGCAAATGTTTGTACTGTGTGAACATACATACATACATATGTAGGTGCCCTTTTAGAAGCTATGAAATCGTTTGATTCTTAAGCATATTACGCAGTGCATGCATAGCGAAACAAAGAAGAAAAAATGCTACAAAATAATATCACAAAGCTATAATATATTGTGTTACGTACCTTACAAATAAGAAATGCAATTAATGAAATCAAAATGCCGACAAAGTGCAAGTTGTTACTAGAGATGAGCGATATTTGCAGCTTAGCGATATTTCTGTAAGCTTTGGCATTTGAGAAATGTTATTTACAGGAGCAATAGCTTAACATAAACTGTTAAATGTACTTAACAGCAAGCAATGCACAACTATTGAAACAATCCGAACTAAAAATGATTTTAGGCAGTGGAAAGTATACCCACTTTTAAAATATGAAGATGGTTCATCGGCATTGCAAATACTCTAGTTTGCTACAAATGCATATTAATATCAGATGTTAGTATTCTAATTGGAAAAGCGTTATTTCACCGTTTGCGGTCACACTGTCTGTCACATTTCAAATATGTAGTTAAAATATTTTGAAAAAAAAATTCTGAAAATTCACTATCTTTATGTTGAGGTGTGGGCGTAATTATCAGATAACAATTGGCACGTATGCAACCACTATTCGGAAGCACAAGCTGTTATCGAAACCCCACGCAATTGTGTGGGGCTTAATACCCGCTACCCACCCAAACAGCTGTCCAAATCATATGTTTATTTTCTTATCACCTTCAGGTTGACCCTAGTTGGGCAGTAAAAGTTTTTTCGCAAGCGTTAACGAAATGGAACTGACTGGCTGGGTGAAAAACTATGAATGGGGTAAACGTGGCATTAATTCGGCTGTTGCCCAAATGGCAATGGCCAATGATCCAGACTTTATCCTGAACGAGAATGAAACATATGCCGAAATGTGGATGGGCACCCATTTCTGTGGTGTTTCCATTGTCAAGGAGACTGGGGAAACTCTTGACCGTGTTCTTAAGAAGGATCTGCCATATCTGTTCAAGGTGCTGAGCATAAAAAAAGCACTCAGCATCCAAGTGCACCCAAATAAATGCGAAGCGGAGCGTCTGCACAAGGAAAGACCACTCATTTATAAGGATGATAATCATAAGCCAGAGCTGAGCATAGCCCTAACACCGTTCCTGGCGCTGGTTGGATTCCAGCCAGTCGAAGATATAATCGATAATATTGATGAGTTCGAACCGTTATCCAAGCTCATCGGCAAAGACGCTGTCCATGCGCTACACCAAAATCGAAACGCCGAGGGCGTAAAGGAATGCTACGAGATCTTAATGAAGTCGGATGAAACTGTCGTCGCCAATTGCGTCAAGGAGATAGCCAAAAACTACAAAAAAGGCAAGGCCGCCACCATATCCTATTTGCATTGCAATTTAAACCATTTCATTTGTTTATGTTTATGCAGAACTTAAGCAGGATGGCTTGCTGGATATATTCAACACAGTGAATGGGGATTTTCCCGGGGACGTGGGTGTACTGTCCCTATTCTTTCTGAATCTGGTGCGCCTGCAGCCTGGTCAGGCCATTTACTTGGGCGCCAACGAGATTCATGCATATTTGGATGGTGATTGTGTGGAATGCATGGCCTGTTCTGATAATGTTATTCGTGCAGGACTTACGCCCAAATACAAAGATGTGGAGCAGCTTATTGCCTCGGTAATATTTGAGGGTAAACCGGCGAGCTGCAAGCTGTTTATGCCGTATCGCATCGATGACACCGTACAGGTGTTTGTACCACCTGTTGACGACTTCGCTGTGATGCATGTGGCCCTTAAACACACTGTAGATACGTACAAGCTGCAGATACAGCCATATGGATCCATTCTGTTGACATTGACAGGTGTCCGCATCTTAAGGCTTAACACCAAGGATGGTCCCAAGGAAATTACCATTACGCGCGGAAACATTGTCTACATTCCAGTTGAGGCAGCGCCCGAAATAGAATTCCTGCATGCCGAAGACTGCGGAGATGATTTCACCGCCTACATTGCAACATATAATTATTTCAGGCGTGCCTAGAGAGTGAAAATTTGTAGTGTTTTACAAAATTTTAAATAAATGAAACACGCTTCTTTCGTCACGAATTAATTTCAATTTCAATTATTGCAATTTATAACAGCTAAAATAGAAACTAAACTGGCAATTTTAATTATTTAAAGCGGGGTTAACGCGTGGATTTATATATCTAATTAAATACGATATTATGTAATGTACAATAAACATATCAATGAATAATATTTTGTGCACAGATAATTTCAGATTAATACAAAACAACAAAATACGTTGCACCGACTTAACCTAATGCAAAAACTGGGCTTACAATCTGGCTGAAATATATAATATGTATAAGTGTTATATATAGAAAGGGGTGGGGGGAGGGGGGGTTTGGGTACATAAACATACATATAGCTAGTACGTTTCTTGTATAGTATTAACAAACTGGCGTACACAAAGAATGCACATAAATTGGCTACAATATGACACTACCCTTAAATATTTAATTGTTCTCAACCATCCGTTCGTTCCGTTGAATCCTTATAAATGCCTCACCACAGCATGCACAAGTTGTAAATATTTTATCATATAGATAACATACAAAGTTGCTTAGTTTGAATCATAAAGGTCGTAAAATGCCTCAAAATGTTTGTACCAAAAACTTGGGTACATTTATACGAAATATCTCATTATAAAATTTTGGTAAAGGTTGTTAGTAGTTAGACGATAGGTATACGTGTAGATACATTATATAGATGGGTTATTCGTAATTATTAATTTCTCTTCAGTTTTGCTTTAGTAAGTATATACGTATAATATAGTTTGATAACGCAGTAGCAACAAATAAATCAAAAAATAATGCCGCTACTGCTAGTATATTTGTGCCCACAACATGTGTTCCCTGTTGTTGTAGTAGTTGGTGGTGGTGGTGGTGGTGGTGGTTGTGTAAGTTTAGGTGAGATAGTAAGTTGTTTCGAGTATATGGAGAGTGGGAGGAGCCTTTGATTAGGTTAATCATTATCGCTTTGAGTGCATACAATTGTGCAGTTTAACTCTTGAGCAGATTGTTTGCGCGTTTATTAACACCATCCATGCGAGTGTTGTTCGCATCACCTTTGGCATTGATGCGATCAACTTGCTTGTTTTGGTTCTCCAACTCGGATCCCATGTCCAAGGCCATGTTGCGCAAGTTTCCTAGCATTGAGTTCACTTGTCCCAAATTCTCATCCATTTCATCCTCGCGCGCATCGTTGGTTATGCGCGCTATATACCCGGATTGTGGTGGTGCGCCCATGCCGCCACGCTCGCGCTCATCAATGACACGCTGCGGCTGACTGGCCACCACTTTTCCATCGTCGTTAGCCTTCCAGGCACTATCGCCGTCATCCTTTATGTTGACCTTCTTCCACGGCAGTACACAGACACCGCAGCACTTCTCCATGCCACTAAGATTCTTTTCTGCCTCTCGCATATCTGCATTGATGCGATCCATGCCCTCCTCAATGCGATCTAGCTGCTCGCCCTGATCGTCCAGGGCTACCAGAGTGCGTATGCCTGCTTCCTTAGATTCATCCATCAAACTAAGCATGCGTCGAGTACTTTCCAACGACTCGTCGGCCACTTGAGCGGATTTAAGCTGCAGCTCCTGCAACTCCGTGCGCGGCTCATTTTCCACAATTGCAGCCATTGCGTGATTATTTATTTGCGGTGTTTACGTTGAACTGATGACTTAGCAAGTGGTTGCGATTTTTTTTTTGTAGCAGGTTTGGGAAATTTTCGCAAGTGACTCACAATCACTGCTGCTGACGCCACCACAAGGGGTTGACACAATTGATTTTTTAAGCTCGTTATTTTGCAAAAGCAGGAACTTGAATTTAAGTTAAAAATGATAATCGAAAGATTTGTTTAATTTGTACAATATTTTGGCAAGTCTTTTTATGCAAATACAAGAACCAATTCTGTATATACAAGATTTATCGAAAATTGATATACACACGAAACCGATATACGATAAGTCAGGGTTGTTAAGTCTTAAATCAGTGTGAGCAAAATTTATTCATAGCAAGCCATTAAATTTGAAAATTTCTACAAATTATAGCCAAACGATAAGAACTTTTTAAAAAGAACTAAACTTGTTAAATTGCAGTAAATAAAATATAGAAAAAAAACTTGTTATTAAGCACTGCGAAGCTGCAATATATTTATACCGCCGTGCGTAACTGGTTGGCGCGTTTAGTGTTGTATAATACATTTGAAATATTAACGAATAGTTGTTGGTACAGCCAAGGTTGAGCGTCAGTGATCTTCAGCGCAATTTTTTTTTCTTATTCAATATCAATTAAATTTTGGGTTCTCATTTTGTGCTGCACTCGAACGGATTTAGTGAACATAACTTTTTAGCAGTGTAATTATGGACAATTCACGCCGTTCGCTTGCACCCGGCGAGGACAGCATTAGCATGTATTTGTCCTTTGACGCCGAAGCCGACGACACGCATGCGAGCAAATGGCAATCGGTGATGGCTACCCAAACTACTCAATATTTGGAGATGCACAGCATGGAGCTGGACCCAAAACATGATGACACCCTAGAGGAAAAGAAAAAAGATGTAAAAAACGTACTACAGGCTCTAATTAAGAATGACATTTCGAAAGACCAAGCCTCACCCTTGCGCCCCTTTGACAAAAGTATTTTGAACAAGCACAATGCCCTGTGCTCGACACCAACAAAAAATATAACATTATCTGACGTGCATCAGGATGTGACCGCTACAGACGCTGATAATAAGGAGAACACGCAGCCAGATGAGGAGAATTCCACGTTATCGTCCACCATAGACGCCACTGCCTCGACGGTGAAGACAAATACAATTTATAATGCTACGCTTGAGGACAATTCAGTAAAGGAAAATAATAATAAGACAAATATTTATCCTTTAAGCGCCAACGTTGTGCTTGAAAATATTACGGAAGGTAAACTCAAACATGTTATTTGTTTGGATTTCAGCTCTTAACCGATCAGTTTGATTTATTTTTCCAGTATCGACCGAGGAGCCGTCAGTGAATGTGCCATCTCCATTGACAGCAGTTGCCCAAGACAGAAAGGATACAGAAATTGTGGTCTCTGAGATGGTTAATGAAGTGTCCGAGCTGATTGTTAAGGCTCTTAAACTAACCGACGGCTCAACAAAACCCGAAAAACAAACAAAACTGCCGACACTTGCCTTGCCGCGGCCGCGTCGCTCGTATCTGCCCACAGCCAATGGGACAACATTTAAGCAACGCATGTCGATTGTTGTCAAGACCACATTAAACAGCCCAGCACGCAAACTGGCTACAGGTAATCCCATTGCTCGTCGCAGCTGCCTGCCCGCGGCTAAGACTAGCCTAATAGGGAACGCCGGCTACCGCAAGTCCATGCTGCCACGATCCGCTGAGAGCGCCACTATCAAGGCAAGCACTTCACGGACCGCACAAGCAGCTGGAGAATTAGCCGATGAAAAAGCGCGCCCCATTATACATAAGTTTAAATGCCAATTATGCAGTGCCAGCTTTCGAGAGAAGAACTCGCTCGATACGCACATGGATTCACACTGGAAATGTAGGCCAGCAATTAGAAATAAGAATTCGTTTTTCTGTAAATATTGTGACAAGAAATTTGTGCTCGAACGCGCGCTGCACATACACTTAATGCAGAATTGTGACAAAATACCGCCAGGCGAGAAGCGTAAGCTTCAATTTACGGAGCTAAATCATGAAAAGAAAGCAAAGCTACCAAAATTGACATGCACATCGCCAGCTGTGAGCAGTGAGAGCTTGAAGTCACGTGAGAGCATGATGCCAGTGATGGAGAAAGAGCAGCCCATTGGTAAGTTTAGATCGAGGCCAGCCCGAAAAACCTTTGTTACATTCTCTGCGTTTGTAGCCACCAACGGAGGTACAAAAGGTGTTGAAATGGCGCCGCCATCGGTAAAGAAGATCCCCAAGAAGGTTGCCCATGCAGGCGTCTATCGGACACCCACTAAATCTGTGCCTTGCCACACCTGTAAGCAGTCCTTCAAGAGCATTCTTGAGTATACTAATCACTGCCTGACAGTGCACTCGAAAAACAAGAAGCAGAACACAGCAAATGCACTGAGTGCTCGATATGAAGATTAAATCAAATACCTTAGTTTAGGTTGTGTTTACATTAATGCTAATACGGTTAATATGAAATATACGATTAAACTGCAACGAAGTTCACTTGGTTTTCTTCTCGGGCGGCGGCTTCATATCTATGCTTTCCGTTGCTATATCTAATGGCCCAGTGCCATGAATATCCGTTGGGTTCGAGCCCGTATTACCATCTGTGCCCGTGGCAGCTGGCAGTTGCCCAGCTTGGAGTGGCTGCTGAAAATTCTGTAGCATTGGAGGTATAGGCGGTGGAAATTTACGTAGTAGCTCGGCCAGCAACATGTCAACACGTTGCTTTTGAAATAACGTGCCACTATTGTCATCCTTGGCAGCATTTGAATCCTTCTTGTCAGACTTGGTTTTGTCAGATACTGCGAAAAATCAGAGACCAAAATTTTATTGAAATATATTTAATTTACAGCAAGCCACCATCGAGAATATGCATTATACTTACAAACTTTGTTAGACGAAAAGTCCCAGGTGTATCCTTTGTTGGGATGATAGCGGGCATAGCTGCTGGCTTCCTCGAACGCCGACTGCAGATTAACGACTGTGTTGAGCTGCAAGTAGATGGCAATATTTGAGCACTACACTGATGTGCTGATGAGTTTACTCACAATACGCGCATTTATCACGTTTGCCAGATCAGGCGCCTTGTAGACAGTGCCTCCAATTATATAGTAATCGGCAATTGGTGTCGCCTCCGAGGGGTTGTGCCGATGCTGTTTGCGTATGACATAGAGAATTGGTTCGGCAACGTGCAGTAGAATGTACTCCATGCCCAGCATATTACTGCAAAGAAGGGAATATTTACGAAACGGAAACGCTAATAAGCTGCGTTAGAAACCTACTGCAAATGTTCAACTCCCAGACGCTGCATGCGTATGGTTTCATTGTTACACATGTGATCATAGAACGGATTGCTCTTGCGGCAAAAGTAGTCCATAACGGTCTGTGGGCTCAATGTGGCCATCATCTGAGTATCGTGCCAAGATAAACGTAGATGATTTTCTGGTGCTTGCGTTATTTGTCGGTTCGCCATTGTTGCGGCTGTTGCACGTGAATAGATTGGGTCTGCGAAATTCTCGTCTTTTTTTTTGCGCCGGCTGACGACAGAAAATAATTGCTAATCAATCAGTGGGTCAGTGTCAATGCCTGGCCGCTATTTGCTTGTTCGAGCGTCTTTCCTCTTTCTCAGTTTGTTTACAAATTATTTATAGACTGAACGCTGCCAATTTTAAAATGTTGCACTTTTTCGATATGTCTTTATTTGATTTATTTGTTGTGTAATAAATATTTCAGTGTCGTGAACAGGAAAATTCAACAGCTGCTACTAAACAATTAGTACGGCGCTGAGGGCACTGTAAGTTCACCGTTAAACTGTTAATTTTAGTATGTGTGAATTATCATTAGTGCGTTATGTACCTGCGACTAGTGCAAGTAGTACACTTTTTGTGTTATTCATATTTTGTTTATAATTTCCGATATACATTTGAAAACTGTCCGATAGCATGTGGTGGCTAGCCGATATATTTTGAAAGGAAGTTGGCAGAGCGGGCCATTTATAAACAAGGTGGCAATACTTTACCATCGCTCCACACATGAAAATATTAAACAAAATGTTTAAAAATAAAACAAAACGTAACGGCTTCAGTTTCAAATAACATATATTTCAAATTAAGCATACAGACAGGGCTGGCACACACATATCTGGTCAATTTTTCAATTTTCTTGTATAAAATCGGCGAAGCGTGCATTGTTGTTGTTGTTGCCGTCAACGTCGTCGCTGCCGCCACAAATACAAATACACTAAAATTATCATCAACATCAAATTGTATATTAAACATTTTGCTCGGTCAGCGGAACTTGGCCCATTTTTTCGGATCGTCAGAATTGGAAACTATATCAGTTCGCTTTGTACATTTCGTCGTGGCGCCCGTGAGGAAATACAACGGAAAGAGCAACGAGTGCTCGCAATGGTAAACAGCAGAAAAAAAATCAATAATTATTACGCATTGTTAAACAATCAAATCGAGTTCAGCTGTGTGTGTGTGTGTTTGTGTAGTTTACTACCCATTTTCATACTGCATCTGTATGTACACATACTGGTTACAAATGGAACGTCATGCCTTAATCATAACCAAGTTATCCCCAAGAATGTGTGTAAATATGTTTGTGCCTAATATTTGCCGCCGTTTTGACAGTCAAGGTCGCGCAAGTCTCGTCAGCGTTTAGAAAAACTGTTCTCCTTTTTTATGGCTCACCTTGAATATCGCGCACAAAATTATACGCATATATGTATATAGCTGTGTACATTTATAGCTGCGTACATATGTATGTATTATCCATGACTTACCGCCCCCACAGTCTCGGGCACAATGAATATATACTTTGTGGAAATAAATTATTTCTTAATATGTAGCTAAAAAAACTTGTTACCCTTCTTACTTTTCCATTTTCCAGTCGGTTGGCACCTCAGTTTCAAATCTGTCGTGAATGTGAACTAAAAATAACTTTTCGTAAACTACCTGTTTTTTATAGACACTAACGAATATCTCTATATACAGGCATATATATATATATATATATATATATATATATATCCTTTGTTTCAACATGTTTTCTTAAGCACAAGAGTTCTTTCATTATAACTATATAAACCATATCAAATGATTATTGTTCTAAGGAATTTGTACTATATATGTATATATATTTTCATATTCTAAAGAACAGTTTTTCAAAAAGCGCCAAAATGTGAGGCTTACGGCCTTGTTTTAGACGATGTTCTCAATCTTTAGTGAAAATGTGTAAAATGTGAAATATTTTAATAGGTATTCATGGCCGTTGTGTTATAAATGTATATTTCAATTTACTCTGTGTACATAAAACAGAACTATTTTTTAACAAGTTGTTGTCTAGCTGCCCCCGATTAGAATTAAATTTACTCTCTTTTAGATTTTGAGGTACTTTCGTAGCCTGATGGTGGCACAACAACAGTCGGCCCAGTTAGTTTGTCAGTTAAAGCGATATGCGCTATATTAAACCGGAGCCGTACTATGAGGTAGCTGGACCACATCTAGGCAAACGCACTTTTTACCAGACGAGAGTCCTATTGGCATGTTGCTAACATATTTTGTATATTTACAGGGGCTTCCACCGTTCAATGTTTCTGGCAGTCCGTTCAATGTGGTGCCAATACACAACTTTCCGGAGCTAATGAAGGATACGTGCGCGCTCATCAACTCCGAATGGCCGCGCTCCGAAACTGCACGCATGCGCTCCCTGGAAGCTTCTTGTGATACGCTGCCTTGCAGCCTGGTGCTAACCACGGAGGGCATGTGTCGTGTTATAGCGCACCTAAAACTAAGCCCGATAACATCGAAAAAGAAGGCCTGTTTTGTGGAGTCTGTTGTCGTGGACAAAACCTATCGTGGCCAGGGCTTTGGAAAGTTGATCATGAAGTTTGCCGAGGACTACTGCCGTGTGGTTCTCGATTTAAACACAATTTATCTGTCGACCATAGATCAGGATGGTTTCTATGAACGCATTGGGTATGAATACTGTGAACCCATTTCCATGTATGGACCGCGCCACTGCGAGCTGCCTAGTTTACAAAATATCAATAAGAAATACATGAGGAAGGTCTTATAGACATCAGCACCAGTAGTAGTAGTAGTGTTGGCTTAACCAAGCTGCGAACGCTTCAAGCTTGACCGGAGCGTGTCAGTTAAACTAGTCAAATTAGGTAAACGCTCTTGGGGCTGAATATATAATCTAATACTGCCCAGCGGCAGAGCCGTACTATGCATAAATATATACCCTATGAGCGTTTGCTTCTGATTCCATTACGATTACACAAACAAACATTCATATTACGCTCGTGTTGATTTTTAAATATTACTTTCCGCATGTATTTTTTGTTATCATTTCGGAAAATGCTTGGATACACAAGCACGTTAATTGCCGTGTTATATAATATATTGCACATAATATATTCACGTTAATTTAGTTATGTATTATTATTAATTTATAATTCATACTCTTATGATTTGTTGTGGTGTTTGCTCGAATGCTTACTAGACAATATCTACCTACATATGATAGCTCAATTATCTTCCAAATAAACTGTAGCATAGATATACATATCGAGATTGGAAACATAGCATTAAGCAAGAAATGAAAGGCAATAAATTATATTAAAGTTGTAGATATTTTAAATGCTATATTTGTTATTTGTTATTAACGGAAGCCCCAACGGAAACATCCGTCTGCAATCTGTCAGAGAAATCTATGACAAGTTCAAGTTCATGGTGCTGCAGCAAGCCAAAAATTGATGTGTGCCCGCCCGGCAATGTTATTTTTATTACAGCTGCATCATATACTGTCGGGGCAGCCCAACGAGCGCGCAAAGCTTCAAAAAGTTTTATTTGACACAAAAATAAACCAGAATCGTGCATAAAACAGCAAGCAAGCGGCAAGACACTTGCTTATCAAATACTATATACAAATGCTCTGTGCGTATCCATAAAGTGAACTGCCGATAGAGTGTATACTTTTATGAAAAGGATTGTAATTCAAATTCAAGTTATACGTATAAGTTGAATTCGATTTTTATTGCACTTAAATTGCGTTTAACTTGTTGAAATTTCAATATCTTTTAATACAAAATTTTGGTTCACCATATCGAATGCGCTCTGTACCGTCAGGTATATGCATTTCCCTCTCATATAATGCTCTCGCTAGTTTCTTAATGAAATTTTTGGCATTGGGCCTGAAAGCGGAAGCAGGTTGAACTGTGTTAGTTTTTTGTTAGTTTCTGTAAAATTTCTACAGGTGCACATTTTCGAAATGCTTGCCTGACGTGATATACGACAGCTGCTAATGGCTTGAAATTTCAGGTGTCTGACCGAACATGCGCTGATTGCCAATTGATACCGCACGTAATTGCAATTAAAATTTTTGTTTATTCTTTATATCAAAATGGAAAGTTGATAGTGCGCATACGTAATACACACCCATAAATGTACGTAGGTAGGGATATATGTGTATATAAAGATGGTTAGTTTGACTTTTAAAGGCTTTAATAGCATTGCTAATTGTACGTTTAGATAGAACCGATTCCAATTTGGTTCCAATTTATATGCGATGGGCACAATCTTTTGCTGACGCCATTGTGATCATCCATTAGGCGCTTTTAACGCTTTTGGCAATGCCGCAAACCTTGCCGTAATGCTCAGGCTGTTCCAAGGAATCTACAATGAATTTGGCCAAGTCGTCCTTCGAAACCAGGCGACCAGGTGCTTCGTCATGCACTACGGTGTAGCCGCTGGCCGGCTCATCGGCGATATGCGGCGGCAGGATAGCAATATAGTCCAAGCCAGAGGCTTTTGTTAAGTCCAACATGCGTTGATGTTCCTCATTTAGTTTGTGAAATACAGCGGGCACCTCGTTCAGGGAACGCAATAGGAACGACGACATGACAATAGAAAGTTTGGTAAGCTTTGCCTCCTTCATGGCCTTTATAACGTTCTCAGTGCCGCGTGACAGCTCCGTTGTGGCCTCCAGTTTATTGCGGGTGCCCAGTATAACGCAGACGCCATCCACAGCTCCGTCGCCCTCAATCAGTCGTTTAACGTCCTCAATATTGGTCGCATCGCCTTGAACCAGTTGAACCTTGCTTTTGAATCGTTCTGGAACGGTGGGTTCTGTGCGGTAAAGTAAACGCACCTTTAGACCTAAAAACGTGATCAGTTAATGCATTCGAAGGAAATCGTGAAGGTAATTGTATGGTACCCTTCTCCAAGGCGTAATCCACTACACATTGACCGGTCATGCCGGTGCCACCAATAACAGCGATTCGTTGCATAATTTTCTTATTTTAGTTTTATTTCGTACTGAAATGAAAACTAGATGTATTACAACTGAACTAAGGTCAATTTTTGAACACAAAATTGCAATATCACTGAAACAGTTCCAGACTTATCGAGCACCAATCAGAATCAAAAATGATTGTTGTTTTTGCACTGCCGCCGACTGCGCTCACCTGAATCGACCAGCTGATTGTGTCTTACACATGCACGAGTAGTTGTGTGCAGTGTTCATAAGCGCCAACAGCTTAAAAACTAGAAATACTAATAAGGAAGATACGTTATCAACACCTCTCTATACATACATATGTACATATATTTACAAATTTCGCATTAAATATAAATTGTCATGAAGACATGTCAAAATCGAATAGCGTTACCTATGTATTGATATTGCTATGTAGCATTGACTCAATGAACAGTAAAAAAAAAGAAATATTAATAATGCGTAGTAGATAGATTATGAAATTACATAGATGAATCAAATTATTTGCTTTAAAATAAGACATTTTTGAATAACGATTGCAGGGTGGCCATGCTATTTAAAAAATCGATTTATTACTAGAAAGGTGGTCAGCCTGGCCATCGAGTCAAGCGTTGCCCAATTTGTCATAAATTTAAAAAATTACGCGCGGTTTCTTTACGCATGCGATTCTTCCGAATTGGCATTTGCCTCGGAATAAGGATTATCTGCGGGATTTTTAACGCGTCTCAGTGTGATGCCCAGTTTTAGTTCGCTCAAGAAATCTGTTGTGGGTGGCTTCTTTTCAGCACGTGGCTTAATGCCGCTTATTGTCGCAGCCTTCTTATCGATTTTCTGCAAGAATATGTAACTATGAAGTTTTGACGAGAAGAAATCAGTTCGATTATACCCTCACCTTCAATTGCACGCCCTTGCGTATGCTTTCCAAGAAAGCGTCGCGATCATCAACCGCGCCAGCGGCCACTTTTGGTTGTTCAGACTTTTTAATTGACAAAGGCAGTGCGCCTCCACCCATTGGTGGCGGTGGTGGTGGCATTGGTGCACCCATAGCTAAAGCAGGTGGGGGTGGCGGTGGCGGCGGTGCTCCCGACGCAGCTGCTAAAACTGGTGCTGCTGGCGGTGCTGGCGGTGGAGGCGGAATGATCGCATTGTTACTAACAGGTGTTGTAGTCTTTGGTTTGGGTGGCACCTGTACAGGCACAACGCGCGGCTGCACAGGTGCAGGCTTAACAGGCGGTGGAGGTGTCTGCTTAACCGGCGCATATTGCACAGTGGTTCTGTTCTCACTGGGCACAATCGTTGGCTTAGGCGGCGCCGGTGGAGCCACTCGCATTGTGCCCATCTTTCGCTGTGTTTGCGGTGCAATTGTGGCATAAATTTCGTTCTGGGGCTTAGGCCGTGTGGTAGGCACTTCTATAGCCGCTGGATACATGTGCGTATTGGCCGCCGTAACAGCAGAGGGTGGAGGTGGTATTTTCGGTCTGCTTGGCTGCGCCTGATGCAACTGAACGGGTACAACTGTGCCCAGCTCCTGCTGCCTGTTGGGACGCTCTACGGGCGCCATATCCAAATCAGATATGTCCACAAAGCGGGAGGTGAGCGATGCATAATTGGAAAATGCAGTTGACGGAGCTGCTGCCGGCGCTGGCGGCGGCGAAGGCGGCGGAGTTATTTCATTGTTGGTAGAGATGGTGGCATAGACGAGCTTTGGCGCTGTTGTCCTCGGCTTTTGCATGTCCTGCTTCGTGGGCTGTCGAGAGAATTGAAGTACAGTGAATTGATGACTGTTATTGTTCACGTAATTCCAGTTGGATTCACTTCATACCATCCAGGTGAAATTGGAGTGCACAATCTTTTTGATCAGGTCCTGCCGCCGTATGCCGGCCACATCCTCCTCGGCTATGCCGCGCTCCATCATGTACTTCTTCAGAACATTGTCATTGGCGCCAGCATTTAAATCGAACGCATTTCGCGTGCGATCGCGTGTAACATCTCCGGAGACATGCTGAAAATTGACGGGTCCACTTATCTCGTACTTGGAGCCCTTGTTGCTGACGACGACGCTGGTGGCAAAGCTGGGTCCTGGCACCGCACCGGGTGCCCCAGTCAAGCTACCCAGGCTATTCGACGAGGAGGATTGGCTCATGCTGCGGCTGGCAAAGTCACCAAAGTAGCGCCGTTCGCTGCCGGGCGAGGCTTTCACTGTGGGCGGGGGCAGCACTGCGGGCGGGGGCTGGGCGAAGACGTCGCTGCTCACCTGCATGCACGGCGGCTACAAGAGAGCAACAGGATAATTAAATTGCGACTGACTGGCCAACATGATGTGGATGATGATGATGATGATGATGATGATGATTATATGAATGGCATTACCACCCAGTAACCGGGGCCTTTATTGCTTCTAATTATGTCATACACATAGGCGCGTCGCTGCATCGCCGGCATTTTGTCAACATCGTCGGCCAGGTGGGCCTTGCGCAAATACAACTGCAGCATCTCATCCGTGCCGATGCCCCGCACATCGAACGTCTTCCGAAAATCGATGGCCCTGCCCTCCAGCTGCCTAAACTCCACCGGCTCCGAGATATACGCATACGTCACACTATCCATAGCCACGTTGTGATCCCGCCCTGCGGACAGCCTGAAATGCGATACGTGTGCGGGGCACTGCATTAATGGAGCTGCTTTTAGTGGGCGACTACTGCCAGAACATAGGGCTATGCCGTACGTATCCGTATCCACGCTGGCGCATTATCTTCCAGCAATTTGCCGATAAGAAGCGTTTTTTTTTTTGTTTTTTGTTTTATCAATTTACGGATTTCTATTGTTGATTTGCTGATGATGAATCATAGCGCCAAAGACAAAGACACGCATAGCCCAGATCCAATAACATGCACGACATTCACATCTACAACATCTACCAGCTATCTATATATCACCCTGTTTAATTACCGTAATTTCCAAGGCGTGAGGCACTTGATGCACTCGAGGAATTGTCGGATTTAGCTGGGAACTGGATGCAGCGTGTGTTTGGCGTGCCGTACGGCCCAAACCAAGGTATCGCACTGATTAACGGAGGTGGTATGTCACCGCGTTTACTCATTTCGCCAAGCTTGTTATCTAGAAACGCAGACACTGATAACTCGACTCCAGTAATCACCTTCAACTGGGACTTCGACAGCTTGAGCCTGCAAGAAAATATAAACAATAGGCATAACAAATACATACATATATGAATGTGTGTATGTGTGTGGCCAAATATTTGGCCAAGTATTAGTTTGATATAGTTTTAAATATATATTTATTATAATATATATACATATATGCATGCACTTTTATTTCAGCTTTTTTGATGTATTTCAAGCATTGGGAGCATTTCGGGTTTGCCACACATCAAATACTTTGTATACCCTATATTAATTGAAAAAGGGTATAATCATTTTGTGATCATTTCGGTATATATAGTTAAACATTCTTGACCAGGACGTTGCTCAATGATGGATCTGGCAAAACTTAAATATGCACGAGTTGATCTTATTTTTTTTATCCATAGTTCTATCGATTCGCAAAATCGATTTTGAAACTTGGTTTTTTAAGCATAATTTGAAAATTGTAAAAGCTTGATACACCAAAAAGGAATTCATATTGGGTCAAAATTTAAAGATTTGAAGGATTCAAACCAAAAAATTTACAAGTAATTTTGTAGTCGAGCATTTTGTGTAGAAAATTAAATCTAATATAAATGTTAAATGAGTTCTCGCGGAATCACAGCCTTCTATAGGAGTAAGGTTATTAATTTTAATTATTTAATTATTAAAAAAACTTACTCTAATTCGTATGCAAATAATAATAACAATGCAAATACTAACTAAAGTTGTAAAGTAATAAAAAAATATATTTTCTTTTTTTGAGTTTCTTCGACATATTTATTAATAGCTTTGGGGTGATGACAGGAGTATCCGGAAGATAACATGGGCCGTTCACTAGTTTAATTTGGTATTTGCTTACAAAAAAGAATGCACTGATTCATCCAAAAGCCCCAATGACTATGTCATGGCTAGTAAAAAGATTTTTATGTAAGCTTGGCGAGCCTTCCTTTTTCTCGAATTCTTTTGATGAGACGCGAATTTTATTAGTGAATGTTTTGCTAATTGGCGCGCTCTTGACAAGTATTCAAATTCTAAACGTTGTGTGCAGCCCGAAATGTCATTTATTTTGACATCTAGCCAAGTGTAAAGCAACCTTTTTTCCTGATCCGTTGACATATTTGTCAACAAGGAACAGAGCATTTGCCTGGCAAGTCATTCGCAATCGAGCTTTGAGGCAGGCCGCATTGCAATCGAATACGAAAAAAAAAATATATATATATATAAATAAAACAAAAATGGATCAGAATATGGAGTTGTTCGTGAATGGGGAGTTCCTGATGGCCGAGTTCGAGTTTGATGGCAATTTGGTGGTGAACAGCGATGAATTGCAGCCGGGAGCCACTGTGCTGGTGTCCAATGAGACCGATGGCATTGTTAGCCACGAGGATTTGGCCAAGTTCTTTGAGATGCAGGCCGGCGTCCAGATACCCACCGAGGAGGCTGTGGAGCGCACACTGGCCGATCCGGCCCTGAAGCAAATCCTGCAAGAGGCTGATGGCAAGGTCGACTTTGATCCGGAGGCCGAGCAAGAGAAGTTGCGTGAATTTCTGTCGGGCGTGAATAATAAGAAAATGGTCGCAGAGAATGCCGTGCCCTCGGAGGTGGCTCAAAAGCAGCTTCCAGCGCCGTCCCAGCCGCGTCCTGTGTTGCCGCAATCGAACGCCTTTCGCTTCATCAAGTGCTCCAATTGCAACGGTCTATTTGACACGCCCTCATTTCAGGATCACAGCTGTGAATACGAGTCGGAGCAGAAACCCATGTCCAGCAATCGGGTGCTGCCAAGTCAGGAGAAGAAGGCGTCTTCGCCAACCAAGAAAACGCCCAGTGAACGCATCATCGTGGAGAACCAGGTGCGCATACGTCGCTATATGAAGGACGAGCTTAAGTATGATCTGGAAACGGGCTTCGATAATTCCAAGACCAGAAAGACCTCCACCAAGGGACCCAACGAGTGCACCATCTGTGAGCGAAAGTTCGTGCACACCTCCGGACTGGTGCGTCACATGGAGAAGCATGCGCTCGACCTCATCCCCACGCAGGCAAGCGTGCAGCAACACCATGCGGCTCCATCGGCTATGGGGCTCCTGGTGGTGTTGAAGTGCAATCATTGCGGCCGCATCTTCTACGATGTCAAGCTGGCGCTGGAGCATATATTTGTGCATCAATCGACAACGGAGCCAGCCGAGCCAGAGGCTGTCAATGCGGACGAGGTGGTTTTGAAACAGCAGCTGGAACAGCTGCTGCTGGAGGGCGAGCAGCTGTTGACACTTACCGCCGAGCTGGAGAGGATGAACGGGGAGGAATATTTCACCACCCTGGTGCTGGGCAATGTGCTGCAATGCGAATTTTGTGATTTCATCTTTGCCGATGTCTCCTTTCTGCTATTCCACTCGGCTACGCATGTGCCGGAACGGCGCTTCGAGTGCACCGCCTGCGATCTGCGCATGACCACCGCCAAGGAGGCCAGCGTGCACTACCAGACCGACTGTGTCTATATGCGCGAGGGACTCAAGCAGTTGCAGGCGCAACCCAATCGCTACTTTGTGTGCAACGTGTGCGAGCTGAAGTTTGCCAATGTGGAGCTGCTCCAGGAGCATCGGTAAGTGCTTGGAAGCTGCCCGGCATATATGTAACGTGTTTGGGTAATGTGGGTAACCGCCTCTCGTCCTGAAGCTACAGTTGCTATCACTACTTTCCGCGGCTCAGCGAGAGCGGCAAGCGTCTGGTCTTGCCCTGCGAGTTCTGCGCCACGAACTTTGAGTACGCGCATGAGATTCAGCCGCACTACGAGGAGAAGCATCTCAATAAAAAGAAACGGGAGAAGGAGCTGCGGAACAGCGGCAATGCGGCCACCATGGGCCGACTGCGGCAGTATTTGTGCGACATTTGTGGCAAGTCCTATACGCAGTCCAGTCATTTGTGGCAACACCTACGCTTCCACCAGGGTGAGTAGAGACGCAGTCGCAAGCGGTTGGCCATTAGCCCAGGTACTCATTGTGGCTCACAGGTGTGAAACCATTCGTTTGCCAGGAGGAGAACTGCGGCCGCAAGTTCACCATACGCCCAGACCTCAATGATCATATACGCAAGTGTCACACGGGCGAACGGCCGTATCATTGCCTGGTCTGTGGCAAGCGCTTTCTCACCGGCTCGGTTTTCTATCAGCACCGGCTCATACATCGTGGCGAGCGGCGTTACGAGTGCGATGAGTGCGGTAAGCGGTTTTATCGTGCCGATGCCTTGAAGAACCATCAGCGTATACACACGGGCGAGAAGCCCTACGATTGTCCCTTTTGCACCAAGACGTTTCGGCAGCGCGGCGATCGGGATAAGCACGTGCGGGCGCGTCACTCGCACTTGGATGCGAACGCACGGCTGATGATGCAAATGCAGAAATTTGAACTGGAAACGGCAGCTGCGTTGAAGGCTAAACAAATGCAGGATGGCGGAGTTGAATTTTTGGTTGAATCAGCATCGGCTCCGTCTGTTCACTCACCCGCGTCTCCCATGGCGCATGATCAACAATTTGATATGGTTGAATTGGATCCCAGTGATTTTGGTGAGGGATCCGAGTTCGTACAACATATGCCAATGCCTATTAACACTGACGACCAAGAGATAATGTCCTATGTGGACCTAGAGGGAGCTGAAGCAATCGAGCAACAACCATTCCAATTGGAGAACAACGAAAACGTCAAGGTTGTTGTGGTTGAAAATAATACTTCACAGCCGTTTTATTTCTAATATACGTGTCTATTTATAAATATATATAAATAAATATATGTATTTGAACTATATTGGCGGATTGATTTTTAATTAAATCTGAAGAGATTTAAACTGACATTTGCGCGGCAACATCTCTACATCTGGCAGCATTTCATATTCTAGTGTTGTAAAGCGGGGTTAACCGCCGCAATAGCTGGCAACGTTTCCAATTGACAGTCCAAGTGTCAAGTAGCCATTTTTTGCCTTTTTCTTTCTTTTCGATTTTTCCATCGTATACGCCAACATGGGTTTCGCTACTTTATGGTACTCGCATCCTCGTAAATACGGTCAAGGCTCCCGTTGCTGGTAAGTTTTATGTAGTTCGTAAAGTTTCGCATCGAAAGCTGTATAATTAGCATGTATGCCTGTTGTTTTAAACCGTATTTTGTTGCATAGTTGATTGCTTTGAGTTATTGAGGTTAAGCACGCCTTAGTTTCGCATGGTGCTTACCGCCCGTACCTTTGTATGATTTTTGATGTATGCAAATTCGCTGCTTTAAAGTAATTTTGCCCCCGGTTGAGTACGGAAATATGTGACAATACATCTTTAACAATTTCCTTAATGAAGGGCGGCCAAAGCAAATGTTGCAGCTGGCCTCTGCCATTTGACAATTAAATGGCACCGCCTGCTGCAGCGACAGCTATGCAACTTAATGCTTTCGTAAAACAATTGTCGATGTGAACTCTTCACCAGTGCAAAGAATTAATGTGCAATCTATTCTTAAAACTTTAGCCGTGCCTGCTCAAACCGTCATGGTTTGATCCGCAAATATGGACTGAACATTTGCCGTCAGTGCTTCAGGGAATACGCCAATGATATTGGCTTCAAGAAGGTAAGCTAATAAACAATACGTGTTCATTGTGCGTTTAATCTTATTGTCAATTTATTCATTTTACAGCTGGATTAAATGTCCGCTTCAACTTCGGCGTTTCGCACGCCAATTAAGCATATTAATTTAGGCAGTCGCTGAAAAGAGACTACGTTTATTAATATGCTGGAACAACAACAACAAAGCAACAACAATATAATCATTTGGAGATTTAAATAACACAAGAGGCAAACACTTCTGAAACCAACATACAAGCCAGGAACACATGCTAGGAGTGTGCCACATTTTATTCTATAAAAATAGTAAGATAATGCAACCAGAGCAATATCTCGAATGAGCATTCACCAATGCAACCGAGTTGACGAACTCCGTGTTACCAACGCCGCACAACCGTGTTCTTTTATACACTAGCGTTAATTCCTATTGCAGTTGTTACCTTCTAGGAAGGTTATTTGTTTAAATCTCCCTTTGATTAAATACATAACAAGTAATGTAAACAGATTGTCTTCATTCCATCCTTATTGAATGTCCATGTCACTAGAAATGCCGGATGCATCTTAACAAGTGCAATATCGCTCCCATTTACTTCCTCATTTCTATAATATTGGGTTAGTGGTGTCCAGTAGGTTGCACTCGAGCTGCGCTTGTGCGGAGAAGCAACAGCAGCTGGAAAACAAGCACTGCAAACCAGTTTATTTAGTGGCCCACTAGGTAAAAGAGCGAGTTGCCGCTCTCTTAGCTGCCTACGCAGCTCGGGTCTCAGCTGACGCAGCTGCCGCTTTGGTTTGCTGTCTTTTTGCCAAAACTCACAATTTTGCACATTCGCCTGTTGAGTTGGGTTCGGCCGTTTGAACTCGCAACAACGCGTCGCGTGTGCAGATTGAACACAAAAATAAAGTTGTTTGGGTGTGAAAAATGTAAAATTAATTCCATATACGCGACGTTTAACATTTGAGAGAGAAAAATAAAAGAAATAAGTAGTCAACAGAAATCAATTTTCATAGATGTGCTTTGAGCTTGTTGACCTGGTTACGGATATTTTTTTTTTTTTAATTAAATGAGCAATGGAATTGCCAGTATTTTTATTGCTCTTGCCACTTCTAGGCAGCCTTTGCGTTGTAGCCACGATAAATGATGCAACAGCCGCAGCAGCAGCAGCGAGGCATCGCAAAAATGCAACAGAGACAAGAGTAGCTCCAACCGAGGTCTTTATCCACAACAGTAGCCGTGCCAGCGGTTCCCGCGGCCATAGATCGCGCGCTGTTGCACAATACAAACTACCGCTCGATGGTGCACCAGCGCCGCTGGACAGCAGAGAGGCCAGCGTCAGAGTGCAGCCCATGCGCAGGCGTAACCAGGTGGTGCTGCGCCGCAGGCCAACGACAACAACAACGTCGAGCACAACGACAACAACGTCAACCACAACGACGACGACGACGACAACAACAACAAGTGAGTTGAGTTAAGAGCGGACCTGCATTCAATTGACTTTAGCACAAGTCCACATATGACCGCTGCAAAGGCGAGCAACACTTGTCGCTGGCACTGACCTAGCTTTCAGTTTTAAAGATTGGTTGAGGCAGCTAGCAGCAGCCAAATGAGAAGCTGTCTGATATAGTTGATAATTATGCGGCCGATAACTGGAGCAGCTGCTGCAGCAAAGCTTTCAAATTTGTATTATTTGTTTTCTTTTCGTCTGAGTAGTCGCGGCTGACCTTGCCGAGCGTGGCGAGACACTTTAAACAGGCGCTTGCAGTTGCACTGATAATGTACTCGTTCAAGGCTTATGCTCTTATCAAGGATACGGTTTACCATCACCCATTTGGCCATAAATTTAAATTTGCCTTGAACTTGATGCACAATTAGCGCGTTTTATGATACGCAAATGTTTGTCATTGAAGCTTAGAGGCAACATTTATTAAGCTAATCGAGGCAATTGGGTCAATCGATTTTCTTGGCCCATTGTCTGAGTCTGATTCAAAACTGTCGCAATTTCACGGAGTGATTCTCACGCTCGCTAAAGCTTAATGTTGGTTCAGTGAGAAACTAGTGCAAATATACCTATTGTTACTTAGCCAAGAGATATTATAATTCAAAACTAATGAGCCAAACGAATTGTATCCATTTGATAAATGTGCCCTTTTAAAAGCTATTCGCGTTTTTCGTCTATTGATTTACTTAATCTATTAACAATTTAGGCAGAATTTTAAATCTAGTAAAAACTTAAAGTACATTTATCTGCTGTTGCTCATTTGTGACTCATTGTAACTTAGCTCATGTCGTTAAGAAATAACAATTTATGGCAACTAAAAATGTTGTTAAAGTTTAAGAGCTTGCTTAATTAGTTTTAACTATCAATGCATACGTCAAATTTTCATATAGATATATTCTTATAATTTTACAATAATGTTCAGATTCGCCAGCAACTGTCATATGATAATCATGATGGCCTTTGCAGTGCAAAAGTGGGCCAAAACAGTGAATGGGCATTTGTAATTGGTAACAGGCAACGGCTGAAGAGAGGGGGAGGGCAGTTGGGGCTGGCTGTTTTTCGCTCCAGCGCCAGCGGCAACAGGTGCACAAAGATTCACTTTTAAGCGCGGCATAAAAAGCACTTGTATTATGATTGTGCTAACTGGGTGGCGGGAACTGCGCTTTGGTTGTCTTGCAATACAAGCTATTTGGAGCAGAACTAGTAATGGCCATTGTTGACTAATCCGTCTATCGCACGCATAGCTCCGCGTCCGAGTTTGGCCAACGGCTTCAATTTCTTCAATCCGAGCTTTTGGAGTTTTGGCCAGCAGAGCCTGGTGCCAGTGAGTGCGCCCACAAAACATCCACATCCGCCCAAGAAGTTCACGCACTCAACGGCAACCGGCTCCAAGGAGGAGAAACTCAACTATCGCAAGCAACAAAAGACAACACCGAATCCAAGGCACAAATCGAGTAGCTCAACGACAACATCTACCACCACGGAGGGTCCATTCCGCATAGCACTGCCAACGCTTACATTTCCCAGCGCTGCGGGCGGCGCCACCGACAAGGAGAAGGATAAGCGAGCTGCAGCCGATCTGCGCCAGCGTTTCAATTGTCCGCGCGAGAACGAGGTGCGTTTTCAGCTATTTCCAAAGATCTGCAAGTCCGATAAGGACTGCTTAGTTTGGCAGCGGGACGAGATCTGCTGCGACATCTTTGGCGCCAGCAGCTGCGTAGCGGGAGTTGCCAAGCCCCTGGAAGAAACAGAGCACGCACGTTAGTCCATTGCACACAGAAGATGCAACTTGTGCTGCTATTAATTAATTTCCTTCTGCAGCCATATTGGGCTTGATACCGCGCAAGTGTCCGGCGCGTCCGCTGGCCGAACTCTGGTGGGATGTGCAGGAATGCCGCACAGATATGGACTGCTGGCCGCGTGTCTGTTGCCCGGATGGACGCCGGCGCTATTGCCGCACCTCCCAGCCGGAGCTGCAGACAGTTCCGGTGCCGGTCAAGCGCTCCTTCGACTACCGTACGTGAATCCATTTACTGTTAATCCAACTGATTGCGGCCAACCCGGCTCTTGCCTCTATCCACAGTGACGGAGTACTTGGAGTGTACAGCACCGCCGCCGACCATTTTTGATCTGCATCCAAAATCCTGCACCTCCACGCTGGACTGCTTTCCAAATGTGTGCTGCCAGGAGGCGGGCCTGCGACACTGTCGTCCGCCCAAGAAGTCTGTGCTCACACTGATGGCCAACTTTCTGAACGTGGACTTTGTGAAGCGTTTGACCCAGAACATCGTTATCAAGTAGTTACAATTCAGCTAACATACACAGGCACATTCATCTGCACACATGTACATACATGCATACATGCATAAATGTATTTATATACACAAATCGTTTATACGAGCACATTCTGTTTTTCAATTGCGTGAAGTTGAGGCTTTGCCTATTTTATTTATTTTTTTTTAGTAGAATGCACACATTTGAAAACTGTTTTTGACTTGTTATTTTTAATAAACAGTTGATACGTGCTAAATAATATTTATGCAGCAAGCATTTTTATTGCTTATAAAAAATGTGTTTCCCAACACTCAAAACAACGTTTGTGATTCACGTATAAACGAGCCTGTTCATGCCAACATTTACAGTTATGCGACTGAGTACTTTTATTTACTCAATTTCGAAATTGTTGTTATTCTTTAACTGATAACTGTTATGTGTACATACGTAGATACAGTGGAACCAGCAATGAGACCTTCTTAAACTGTACTTTTAGTCTTAGATAATAAAAGTGATTTATCAACGCTTCCACTTTGAGTATTTCTTGTTGTTTTTTTTTTTTTTTTATAGCCAAACTGCGTCTCAGCAATTGACAGCGAGTAGCTGAGCCAATGTCGATGTCGAAAGTTTTGTACGAAAAAGGTTAAATGGTGTCTGGTTACCTCTTGGCCTATGGCTTAGACGTACAATTTTATTATACTGGAAATAGAATCAGCGAAGGCCCCGTTCTTACCTTGGCTCATTGTACACACTCAAATTTACACGCATATTTTATGAACAAACATTTGTGCATACAACAAATGTTTGTTTTATGTATGTCAAGCGGTGTCTCGTGTACAGATTTGTTCATTGTGCATTTGCATTCGGCGCTTAATTGGGTCCATGAATACGTTGTGAACATGGAAGGTTTGTGTAGAGCAGAAAACACAAACTGAGTTCGAGTGAGGTTAAGTCTGCCCAGGTAAAGCTGCGTTTATGGATAAAGCATTCGGATACGGATAATGGATAAAGCATTCGTAGCACTTTATCCGTGTCACACATACTTCTTTGAAATTGAACATTATTTATTACTGTTTAAACAAAACTAAAGAAATAACACATATATGATAGCGAATAGGGAAACCAGCTGGTAAAGCTGGAAAATATCGTCGAAACCAGGATGCATTAATAATCTAAACGAAACCTAAAATAAAAGTAAAATATGCTTTATTTTAGCTTAGAATAATTTTCTGTTTTGTTTGTTTTTATCTTTTATCAAACTCGCTGTGTTCTGCAAGAAACATTTTTTACCTGCAATACTAAAAAGTATACTATAAACATATGTATATGTATGTACCGTATTTAAACTTAATATCCAGCCAGTGCAACGGCAGCTTTTCCGACGCCCAAGTGAGACCTGGTTTCAAATTTCCCACAAACTGAGACAGAAATGGAAAGACTGCCCAGTAAATAGCATAGTCGCCCCACATAGAAAACAATTGAATGATTACATAAGTTGACATTTAGTGGAAATGACGCAGCGCAAACTTTCATTTAAATTTCGTTTATTGCACATTATTCAATTCATTGCGAGAGGCGCACATAGGCACACATGAACTTTTCTTTGTGCATGTGTTGGTGTATATATGTTTTGCAAGTGCAAAAAATAAAAAAAAAGATTCTTATTTAAATTTAAATTTAATTCTATAAACTGCTGGCACATTCACTTGGAGGAGCAGCCGCACTTGCTTTTGTTCTCGCCGCCGCACTTGCAATCGGTGCCGCAGTTGCAGGAGCCCTTGTTGGTCTGGGAGGCGCATTTGCAGCCTGAATATAAAAAAAAAAGTATTATTAATAAACAGACGTAGGCAATGGCTTTGGTTAACCATATTTTAGGTCCTTTGGATGACTTACCACTTCCGCATGGGCAAGGCATCTTGTATGGTTATTGAAGGTTTAAACTTGTAGAGTAAAAAAGAATACTTTGGTTTTCACTTAAGTGATGAATCACTTTTACTTTGCTGCAGAATACAACTGATGCACAAACCACGGATGTTGCCCGATTTTATACACTTTCGAAACGAGGCTTTCCACACGGCTGCCGGGCGCTTTAATTCCAGTTTTGCACACGCCAACCGGCCGGCTAAACATGTTCGAGCCGTGTGCAACAAACACTTTCCGTTTGAAAGCTTTCTAAGCTTAATGGGTTCGTGTCTTGACTGGGAGTTTTTCATTGCGTGTCTCGGCTACACTGAGTGGGCATCGCATGCACGGCGCATGCGTTTGTGTGGTGGATAAACACGGGCGGCACTGGGCCCCTTATCGTAGAACGTACAACAATGTGGGTCTCCGCTGTCTGTCTGTCTTTCTGTCCATTCATCATCGGCTTCGGCTGTGACTGTGCCTGTGCCTGTGCCTGCGAGTGGGAATGTCAATGCGCGTACGCGCGGAGAGTCAGTGTTTTTCCGATTCCTGAGTGCGGCTGCAGCAGGCAAAGTCGTGCGACATTTTAGCAACGAATTCAAGTGCAATGAAATGCAAGAACTGAATGTAAATAATAAGCGTTTTTTTATTTATTTTGATCTTTATGGTCATTTTTAATGTTATCCTTGCTGACGAAACATTTTTGTTGTATTTTAAAATTTGTTAGGACTGGTGCGTGTGTGTGTGTGTCTGTGTATTATAGGTGAAAATGCAACACACAAAATCAATAAATCCAAGCCAAAATAAAATAAGGAAAAATCAACGACGCGTGCTCATGTGTGTGCGTGTTTGTGTGGGCGGCTGTGTGTGTGTGTGTGCGCGCGTATGGGCGTGGGAAAGAAAACAAAAGAGCAAAACAGCGAATGCGTAGCAAATTAAGGTGGCAACACTGGAGCACAGGATACAGTGTGCGGAAGTGAACAATTTAAAGTTTGTGGTCGGTCACCAAAGCAAATGACACAAATACATATACAGACATGTGTGGGTCGGCGTGTGTGTGTGTGTGTGCGTGTTGATGTATTCAGAGGAAAAGGCTGCAAGCGATTATTTGCTCACCCACGCATTAGACTGTTGTTGTTATTGCTGTTGCCTGCACTTCAAAGCTTCTATTTATACACAATGTGTGTGTGTGTGTGGGCGTAGGCGTATGTGGCTGCTGCCAAGCTGCCCATAACGCGACCGACCTGATACCTGAGCCCAATCACAATCACAATATCATCAGTTCCCTTCGTGCCCAGGCCGCCCACGCAGTAATAATAGTATGTAATCATAATTATAATGATGACAATGATGATGATGATAATGATGATGATGATAATGATGATGATGATGATATTGCCAATGACGTTGGCACTGGCCACAACGGCGCACAGATCTGTGCTTACGTTAATTTTCATAATAATATACACAACAAAAAAATCAATACCGTTCCTTAACTTAAACCAGAATGGCACATGCCCAAAATTAGCCAGGCATCCATTCTATGCCGCGTTTTTGTGGCCCCGCAAATCCAAGTGCAGACGCATTCCGACCGTGCCGCTAAAAGGTTGTGCGTGTGTGGGCGTAATATGACCAATTGATTTGCTCCTTAATCGTTTCAGATAAACAAAAGTATGGCGTTCAAGTAAAAAACATACACACAGAGTTGACGACAACCAAACAAACAGCAAGCCGCCAATTTTGACAACTTGACCTACCCAGATTGGCACCCAATCCAATCGAGATGACGGAGCAAAAGAATCAAGTGACCCGCGCAGCGCCGGAACAGAGCAACGACTATCGTGTTGTGGTCTTTGGCGCTGGCGGCGTTGGCAAGAGTTCACTGGTGCTGCGTTTCATAAAGGGCACGTTTCGCGAGAGCTATATACCCACCATTGAGGACACCTACAGGCAGGTGAGTGTCTATTTGGCCATCATATTAATACTTAATATATTGTCATATTCATTTGCTTGTCGCTGCAGGTGATCAGCTGCAATAAGAACATTTGCACATTGCAAATCACGGATACGACAGGATCACATCAGTTTCCGGCTATGCAGCGATTGTCCATCTCCAAGGGTCACGCATTCATTTTGGTCTATTCCGTGTGCTCGAAACAGAGCCTAGAGGAACTGCGACCCATTTGGACGCTTATCAAGGAGCTAAAGGTGAACAACATTAATTCGATTGTATAGTTGAAAGATTAATAGACTCATTATTTTTAGGGTGATGTGAACTCCATACCCGTCATGTTGGTGGGGAATAAATGTGACGAAAGCACCGAGCTGCGCGAGGTTTCGCAAATTGAGGGACAGGCACAGGCGACCACCTGGGGCATATCCTTTATGGAGACATCGGCCAAAACCAATCACAACGTAACCGAACTGTTTCAGGAGCTGCTCAACATGGAAAAAACACGCACCGTCTCTCTCCAGCTGGACACGAAAAAGCAAAAGAAGCAAAAGAAGGAAAAGAAATGCAAGGAGACGAACGGCGCCATACCGGAGAACGGCGAGGCCAGTGCCAGTGGAGCCGGTGTCAAGGAGAAGTGCGGCGTTATGTAACGAGTTGGCAAGCAACATTGGTGACAGACAAATACTCGCATGGGGACACTGGCAGTACTCGAAATGCATCCCACACACACACACACACACACAAACACAAACACATTGGCATATAGACATGCATATACCATATAGCACTTTGGGACAGGTGTTATCAGAGAACGGCCGGCATAACAAAACAAATATATTATTAATTTTAGATGAAAATAATAAGACAGCATTATAAGTATATTTTGCATACATCGATTTTATCCGCAACTCCTTCTCATCTACAAGAATAGAGAAGGCACACCCTCCCACCTCCCCTCATTCATAAAATCCCTCACACCCACACAACACAAAGATCACAAAATATATACATATTAACACATTAATTTCTTTGGATTCTGAAAACTGCATCTGAAACGTAACGGCATACATATCAAATACATAACATACTAACATTACATGACATACTCGCACTTACATACTAGATGTGTAAATTACACAGATATCATAATGCTATAATATAAACTATACGAATATACACATGCATATGTATGTATAACCCAAATGAAAAGCCAAAGTACCTACTTAAAAGACATACCATTTTATCTACTTACTACTAAACTAAAGCTATATCAAGTACACGGTGTGTATTTGCATGAGAATCCATTTTCACTAACAGAGAAGACTCAAGATGGACAAGACAATTCTGAAGCATTTGTGGCATTGAATCGTGTGTCCTTATTAGATATGGATCTGTTTCGTTTGCTGCAATGTCTCCTAACTGACTATCAATCTATTGCTGTAAAACTATTTACCACCAAAAACGTTAAACAAATGGAATATTTGCCACTAACATCAACTATATTGTATAAAATAATACTCACACAATCAGACCGACGACCGACACGAGAATCCTGAGAAATTTAAAATTGTTTCCACTTTGAAAGATTTTACACAAAACACTTGTTTATGTACGTAAAATGTATTTGCTTACAATTATTTGCTGAACTTAATTAACAATTAACGAACAGTGCATAAACAAATTAGCTTTAGTCAATGATTATGCCACACGTGTAGATCCGATGTTGCAGGCAGTCGGTCGCATTCTACCGTATCCGGATCTTCATGCCACGAAACAAGCACAATTTTTGTCGCTCATTCGAAATTGTAGAGTTAGTGCTTATGAAAATAGAAATACATGTACATCGAAGGATATGTGCAAAATTGGTATATAAGTTGCCTGTTTTAAACAAAAACGAACACAATGTATGTTTAACTTCAAGTAAAAACAGTTCACAAAATTGTGGTATTTGCTAAATTTTAATAGTTCGGTTGGCTTATAAGTAGGCGTAGGAGTTAAAGTCTATTAGACGGTTAAATAGTTTCGCGTCGTTTTGCTGTTGTTTGATATTAAAAGGGCATTAGGTTTTTCAATTTTGTATACCCTATTCAGCTAGGCGGAGAATAATTCCAATTAACTGCTATTAAATGTAATGTAATTTTTTGCCAAATTCGTGGTGAACATGAAACAAGACAAGTAATTATATTAATTATGACTTTGCTCATTTCTTATGCACACAGTAAATCACACAATAAAAATGCCATTTGATCGTTGTTTGGCACTAATTTAAATAAATAGTGATCAGCTAATTAAAGAGGAAAACATACACACGCATATAAAAAATATAACATAGTACATACTTATCTACTATATTGTTGAATTTGTGTAGTGAAATTATTAACCAAGATTTTGATAGCGGACCAATTTGCGTATAAGATTTCAGAAATCAATTTAGATAAATTCTCTTAGTTTGCCATAGAAAACAAATGCATAAATAGTATATTATTATATAGAATTCTAATGCCAGCCTTAGTTAAATCTTATGCATGCACTAGGTTTTTGCTTAGTTTTCCTAGATTTAGTTAAGTTTGTTGGGCTCTTGACAGCAAAACTGGTTATGGCTTACATGTACGTGCCGTGTATTGGAGTACAATATAATATAATACATAAAATGGATAATTAGTTGCATAATAATATTAAGGAAATGTAATTTATATGTAATACAGCAACAATATGTATGTATATGTAATTCAAAAGTATAATTTAAAATACAACGAATGAATATATTTACACCGAATTATTTTTAATTTTTTTTTTTTATGAATATACATTACAATATAATTATTATACACACAACATATTAGTTGTATATTGAGCTAGTTTATTCATGATGAATATTTTATTACTGCTTACATTTTAAATATGCAGCTAACACAGACAGACACACTCAATGCTAATAAGATGTTGTAAATATGAACAAAAAATTCAGCAATTGGCATAATTGGTATATGTATATATACAGGCAATATATACTGATAATATATATATATATACAGTTTTGGAGTGGCCGAAAGCAAAATATATATACATGTAATAGACAGTTTTGGGAGGCCTATTAATGACACTTAAAAAATCTTATTGTTGGAGATTTAACTTATAATAATTATCGTGCAAAAATTAAATAATTACACGCAAAAATAATTTAAATAAAGAATAATTTAACTACGAAAAATATCAGCTGGTAACAAAATTATCTTTGACTGTAAGAACTTATGCCACATAATTGGTAAAAAAAAAAATATAAATCATCACGAACATTACACATAATACAGCTTTAAATATATATAGCCAAACATTAAAAACTATCAATATGATCATCATCTTGGTTATCATCAACAATCGTAAAACCAGCTTCATGCGCGATGTCAGCTGACGAATTACTGATATTGGGATTTTCGTTTGAAATTGGCTTTAAATTTTGTTTGCTTTTAGTTTGTGCTTCTTGTGGCGTTTGTGGGGGTGCTTCCAGTGGTTCCAGCAGCTCTTGGACACCCGACGGGGATAGTTGTAGTTGTTGTTGGGATTGTGTTATGCCTGAAGTGCCTATGACATTTAACAACATCTTAAGATTTTCACCCGACAATCGATCTTCTGTTGTTTCATTTGCCAACGCTTGTTTTGTAGTAGATGCAGACGACCTGCCATGCACCAGTCCCATCCAAGCCTTGGGGCTTATAACGTACTTGAAGATTAACTTCAGTAAGTACCCAATCATGCAGACCAGTGCAAATGGAGCAATCAAGTTGTATGGAAATGATAATCCAGCTGCGGCAAATATCAGTCAGAATAAAAAAGGCTTACAATCGTTTTTTTTTAATACTTACTGGTTAAACTCGTCATGGTGTGAGTTGTTTTTTCTAGTATCAGTTCAATTTGTTTGAGGAATATGTCACTCGTATACATAACGAAAACGTGATCAGGTCGACAGTAGGGCATATTTAATTTGCTTGATTTTCTGTAATGTGCATGAATTAAATGGTTATTAATGATTTCAAAAGATGAAAATAAGTAGTACTAACAAAAGTTTCTGCTTTTGTTGCGCCTCTGGAGACTCGTTGAAAAAATATCCAAACATACGTGAAAACCATGTTTTTTCAGCATCATCCATAGGCTTCTGATGACTGTCAATTACGTCAATCAAAGCCTCAACTTCTAGTTTCTAAATTAAATCAATCGGAATTCAGTTACATTCGATATACTTGTACTTTGTACGACATACCCTATTGCACTCCAAATAGGTTACAAAGTAGCCATACAGGAAAATACCGCCAAGAATAATGGCTATAGCCGAAAATCGAAATCGTCTGTGCACAATCCACCCGGTAGTAATGGTGAGCAGCACTGTTAGCATGAATCTTACCTGGCGAAACAAGTTTTTTGTTTGTATAGTAAATACCAAATAAGTATGTGTATCTAAGCCATTAATGGCAATGCTAACCTCGGATATGTTGAGTAACTGTATAAGATCCTTGAATATGTCCATAACAAGCGCACGCACTCCCATTCCTTGGTGCCTGTAGGTATAGTCGTCGTCGGACTGATCGGACGACAAGGGCACATCTCTTGCCTCATCCAGTATTTTGGTGAGCATGATATCCAGATCACGCACATCTTGGACAGTTTCAAGCTCGTCGACTTGTGACGGATTTAATGTAAATATCAGCGATCGCTTAAAAAGATGCGACGTTTTGCCATACTGAAATGTTGTAAAAAGTTATCGTTACAAATACCGACAATATGACGTCATATGACCAAATTTAACAACGAAACGGCCGCGTACTTACCTTCAGTCGCTTGCGACTGAATAAAGTATTAACAAACTTTTTGAAATATGTTAATGCTAATTGGTCCTCTATGGTTGCCAGTGATTTCTCTGCTGGCACCGGGACCTGACATTGGCAGGATTCTTCTCCTGGATTATTATATTGGGCTGATGTCAGTTCCGACCATGCATGTGGTTCAACCCAGTTGTCCTGGTAACAACACACATTGTGGAATAACAATAATAAACAACTAACTATTGCATTTGATTGCATTGCTTCTTTTTTTTTTTTAATTATCAAAACTATAACAATATTAAGCAAGAGTTAAACAAAATTAACAAGCCGAACACACATGATCACAATTGCGCGGTTGCAGCATTAGTGTTAAAAAGTGCCAACTTCCATAACTAGTACGGTGATCATATGAGCAAGCCATTTTTTGCTTGTAGGCGTCTTTTGATGCGAGGCAGTTCACGACTTATAATAAATATCGATAATAAATTATGGCGTGTTTTTTTCTTAAATTTATTAATCTTATATATTTTATAGTGACTTTTGAATAATTATTGAAAACATAATACAAATAAAGTGCATATTATATATGAATTTACAATATTGCGTTACCGAAAATATTTGTAGCTGCATACACAGCCTGAGCAGGCCTTGCCAGACTGTTTAAAATGAAATATAAACATTGGAAGAATGCTGCCACATTCAGAACAAAAATGACTCACAAGCAGTGTTAAGCTAAATAGTTTAAACAATATTATAATTATTAGCGTACCGCTATAAAAGTGCGAAATGGGCTTATTTGGCAAAACCCCCAGCAAAGACCCCAAAGAGCAGGTGATACGTCATTCCGTTGTGGTCAACTTTTTGCGCGTTAACAAGGCCACTTGGCATCATCAAATGATGTCATGTTCCAATTGTTTTGATTCTCGTTGTCAACATCTGTTTTTCTCCGAAACCGTAGGTGCAAGAATGGACCCACAAAATACGAAAAGAGGGTAATCAGCTCGATAGGCAGATACGCAGCATACAGCGAGAGGAGGAAAAGGTGAAACGCTCTCTAAAGCAGGCCGCCCAAAAGAACGACCGAGACACCTGTATCATTCTCGCCAAGGAGATAGTGAATGCGCGGAAAGCTATAAACCGCATTTACACATCCAAGGCACATCTCAGTTCTATACAGATGCAGATGAAAAATCAATTGTGTATGTATAACTTGGTACAGCGATGGATACAACCATTACCTGACTTATGCTCTTCTGTTTTAGCTACTTTGCGGGTTGCTGGCTCTTTGCAGAAGTCCACGGAAGTTATGCAGGCCATGCAAAGTCTTGTTCGATATCCGGAGTTGGCAGGCATTATGCGTGACATGTCCAAGGAAATGATGAAGGCAGGCATTATCGAGGAGATGCTAGATGAGACCATGGACTCGCTGGAAGAGTCTGAAGAGTTGGAGGAGGAGGCAGCAAAGGAGGTTGATAAAGTACTCTGGGAAATTACGGACGGCAAACTGGGAGAGGCACCATTACCACCAGAAGCAACGCCAGCAGACAAAACACCAGCAGCTCCGTCCCGAGTTGCGGTCGAGGATGATGACGACGAGGGTGAAGAGCTCCAGGAAATGCAGAGCCGCCTGGCTTCGTTGCGCTCATAAATTAATTAACGTGCAGTAAAAGGGCTGTAATGCATTAAAGCATAAATTAATGTTTAGATTCGAATTTGGAAAATTAAGCTTGTGATTATTTATCATAGCACCTTGCGTCCCACAAAAAACCCACTATATATTACATACTCCGGATTCCGAAACGGAATTATATAAACCAAAATAACAGTGAAAATCTATTAACAATTTTCGTAAGCTTAAGGTATACAATGTATTGGTTCATATTATGTTGAGCTGCACGTGTTTTAACGTTAAATTTAACAATTTTTACATATTATTTATTGCATAATTTAAACTTGTATTAAATGTAATAGAAGACACCTAAGTTAATGATTGGATTCTAAGCAGACCTAAGTATACCATACCTTACATGATATATGGCATATATCTTTATGGTCTTTAGAGCAGTCTCGCAATAATCGATATTGTAAAGCATAACCTTAGGCTGAACTGTTAAATAAATTTCTCCACAAAAGGAACAAGTCTTACACACTTTCAAAATTTTAGTTCTTGCGATTTGGTTCTGATTAGAATCCTCGCTGCTAATTCAAAGATAATTATTTTTCGGCATGGCCTTAGCCTTGACTTCCGCTTGTCTTTAATAATAACTAAATTTAAAGTTATTTTCATTGCTCCAACGTAGACTGTATCCAGTCCACATAAGCCCCAACTCGACTGTATACGCCTGGCCAGCCGTTTAAGCCGCAAGGCGTGGGTCCAAATGAAACAACGCCTGCCAGAAAATAGTAAGTGTTCACTTTGTTTGTGTCCAGGCCAATAAGCGGGCCGCCAGAGTCGCCGCGACACGAATCAACACCCTCCATGCCACCGGCACACATTTGCGTATTCTCGAGCACAATGCTCTGGCGACTATAGACGGACTGGCATTCTTCCAAGGTGAAGCCATCCACAGCGGCCTTCAGCTTTAAATTGCTGGCCGATAACTCTTCCGTTTTACCCCAGCCGGCCACATCCATTGAAATGCCATCGAATGTAGCCGAACGCAGATTCGTGTCCAACGGCAAGCAAATGGGTCGCACAAAGTCAGTGTACTCGATTTGGCGTGCCATGCGCAGCAGGGCTATGTCGTTCACTTGATTCTTGGAGCCTGGATCGTACGAAGGATGTGGTATAGCCCGTTCCACCGGCACATCCATATGTGGTGGCGCGCAGTCCTTCATGCCGCGCACGTCCACTTCACAATCCGGATCGGTGGCAGTGTCCCACTCACCCAGACGCACGCCGGTTAGACGCCAGTCGGCAGGCAGGGATCTGCCATTGACACAATGCGAAGCTGTCACCACGTACCGTGTGCTGATCAGCGAGCCACCGCAATGGTGACCTTTGTTGCCGCTGCCTTTAAAAGCGAAAACATTTTACTGGAGGTTTCATATGTGTGGATCAAATACCTTTGGTGTACTCGATCAGCGCCATCCAGGGGAATTCGTCGATCTTTGTCTTAACGCCGCCATAAATGCGATTCGATAATATATTGCCGCACTGGCCCGGCAAGGGTAACAAGTTTGTGTTCGTCTTATTTGCGGGCGGTCTTGCTGTCGTTGCCGGCGTGCTGTCCCGATAACGATCCGGACAGCAAATCTGTGAGTTGTGCACTTACTCAATTAGCACAACATTAATTGATCAACAATTTGATAACATACCAGAACCTTGTGATTAAAATAGCCACACTGGCTGCGGCTCAGATATAGTTTGTCCGCGTCCCGCAGGGGCGTCGTCGTCAGTACTCCATATAAATACTTGCAATCCTCCAGATGGATGCAGAGGGCGCGCTCCCGGTTGGGCGTAATGCAGCGTCCATAGTTGGGCACCTGGTTAGCCTCATTGGGAAAATAAAATTCTGCATTGAAATCCAAAGAAAATAATCAAAGAATTGTATAATCATATCGTAAGCAATGTATTGGGTATATGAATTAATAACTTTTATTAACTATCGGTTATAGAAACTGGTTTTTGAATAGCTAATCTTGCGAGAGATGCGAAGGCCTCCATATACACATATGTATATACAAACAAACACGCCTATTTATGTGCATAATTCAATATTCTTCGCGCTTCTATAACGACGATTCCATAAACTTTCCTTTGGCTTGTCTATTTATTTTGTTTTACTTACGCGCATTTGCCAAATTTACACCAAAACCCAAAATCGCACAGGCTGTAATTAATTTAAGCATCTTCACTTTTGGTTAAAGCGTCGTCAGTTATTGTGCAATTGATGCTTATTGTTTTCTCTTTTAAATATCTTTTATAAGTACACAATTAAGTAAATATGATGACTACAACGGTAAAACTCCAATCAGCCGTTCATTACAGTTGGAGAGTTCAGAGCAAGGCTTGGCGCACGACTGAGACGCGGCAGGCAAATGAGCACAGCTTAACAGAGAACTTTGCGCGAGCTTTGGCTTGAGCTTTTTGTTGTTTTTTTTTTTTTCTTCTTCTTGTCTGCTTTGCATATTAAGTGATAACAACAATCTGCTTAGATCTGCAGGTATTTTAATTTATTTATATTTTTAGTATTCTTTTTTGTATAGGAATAATACACAACGGTGTTAGTTCTACATATGTAGATATTTGGCTTTGGCGTCGAAAAGCTTTGGATAAAGTCGTGCCCCACGCAACTCTCCCGTTCATGTATTCCGCACTGGCTTTGGAGATTCACCATTGATGCTATCGAAAATCCAGTTCATGTACGAGCTGACAGCCGTATAGACGCCCGGTACGGTGGTAACGCCGCATAGAGTTGGTCCAAAGGCGACAATGCCGAGCAGCGTATATCGTCCATCGGCGTTGAGTATGCCGGAGGTGCCATCGTCCATGAAGGGTCCGCCGCTGTCGCCGCGACACACATCGTTCATGGGCTGGCCCTGGGCGCACAGATGTCTGGGCGTGATGACAATCGGTTGCTGAAAGTTCTCGCTGAGCGTGGCATAGGTAATTGCGCAGCTCGTCGTATTGACTATGGGCAATCTGATGAATCTCACGGAGGCTGTGCTGCTGGCAGGGCTGCTTGAAGTTGTATCTGTAACGGAGTAGGCGCATTAATCAGTATATATGTCGTCAGCTAAACTGTGTTCATTCAATTCCGTTTATTTAATATTTTAACAACATACTCTCCATTTTTGTGCTCCAACCAGCCACCACGCCCAATTGCCCGATCAATCTATCTGCGAGCGCTGCTGTGCTGTTCAGAGGTAAGCATATTGGTGTGAAATTACCTGAAAAAAAAAAACGCCAGAATGTACCGACTGCTGGCTGGGGCGTGAGGAGGGGGTCGTGTTAGATCAGCTTACTCAGGCTATTGTTTAGACTCAGCAGGGCAATATCATTCGCATACTTTGGTTGATCGTAGTTCGGATGCACCAGCACGTTGACAATATCAAATATATTTGGGCGACTGCAATTGGCAGCATTTGGGCTGCAATCCTGCGCGCCGGATACGTCATCGCCGATGCGCACCTGAAATCTGTAAAAGGGTTTTTAGGGGGAAGGGGGGGGGGGGGGTGTGGCATATTGTACAATTAGTTTCACTTACATCTCTAGATCGCTCACCAAGTTGACAACACAATGAGCGGCGGTAAGGACATAATTGTTGGAAATAAGAGAGCCGGAGCAGCGATAGCTGATGCGATTGTTGGCTGTGTACAGTGAAATGGCGAAATTGTATTAATCAAGTTATTTTTAATATTATTGCAGAGCTAGCAAAATGAGTAAAGGATGCCCATGTAAAAGTGCGTCCGACCTAAGTAGTAATTGCGCTTATTGTCCTCCGGGCAAGGTTCCATATGTTCAAAATGAAAATGTGAGCCAAGACCAAACCTATGGCGATTCTGGAAGCTATCAAAATTACAATCAATACAACAACCCACCCTATAATAACAATAATCAATATAACAATAACTATCCTTATAATAATCAATATCCATACAATAATCAATATCCATATAATAACAATCAAAATAACTATCCATATAACAATCAAAACAATTATCCATATAATCAAAACAATAACTATCCATATGATAACCAATATAACTACAACCCGTATGGGCCAGGTAGCGAGTACTCCTATGGCAGCCAGAAGGGCGGGCAGTTTGCAGAGGAGCCTCAAGGATTTGAACTTAGCGAGGGCGCGGTTTCACTTCTGAAGGCAGTTGCTGTTTTTGGCACCGGTTGTTTAATCACCATGAAGATGACTGGTGTGGCAAACGAGCTGGGATAAGTGCAATCAATGTTTTAATGATCGTTTTGTTTTTGTGCCTAAATGTATTCTAATCCAAGGACGAGGACCATCTCCGAAAATAATACACACACGTACGAGTTTATACACAAATTTCAATTTCAATTGGATGTCATTAAAAATTGTTGCGTTTAAAATTGTGCTACTCACTGCGATTGCGGTAGGCGATACGGGCGAACCATGGATATTGTCCTGGGGCAACCTCGTCACCACCCAAGAGACGTGTGCTCACACTTATCCCACAATTGGGTGAATTCATGCGCGCAGCCGGCATTAATGTGGCCGTGGGCGTGCTCATGGGCATCATCGTTGTGGTGGGTGCTGTGTCACGTATTATCTGCTCTTGGCTGGCATCGGCCATTAGCTCGCCATCTCCTCTGATCTCGAACGATTCCTGAAAACGCAAATCGCCAGGAAACACAATCGGTCTATCTGCAGGCTTTGGACGCGGCGCTTTCTCCACTGGCTCAATCTCGTGATCAATGTGGTATTGAAAGTGATGACCGCTGCCAAATCCAAACGGATGATGATCATCATAATCATCTTCAATTGGCTGTGGACAGTTGCGTTGCGCCTCAAAATCCCAATAGTCATGCAAACGCATTTCGGTCTCGTGCGCCACAAATCGATTCAAGCTGTAGTTGAATCTGGGACTGCGCTTCGAGCCGCTCGACGTGTCCCAGACCCAGCGATCATTGGGCGCAAAGCGCGAACTGCGCACACCTGTATGCGAAGATGCCGCCTGATGCTGCGGACAGCAAGCGAGCGGATCGAGACCATGATAGCCACAGCCGGCTGAATGCACCATGGCGAACACAGAGGCGCGCTCCTCTGGACTGTGATTGAGCAAAAGCCGGACAAAGGGCACGCAGTCCTTAATGCGTATACAATGACAGAGACTGGCGGGACAAACGTCTGCAAAAAAACGGGATGTGGTAACAGGTGAGCGCACGTGTAAATAATTTGAAAAAAAAAAAAAAAATTATTTTTTAAACCAAAAAACAAGCAAATAGCCAAGGTCAATATCTGCAAACCAGAAGTGCCCAAAACCGTCAAGAGTTTAAGCCCAAACAAAAGTCCGGTTCAGCAATTACTGAGTCACTTTTGCCATCGTTTTCGTAATTATATTGTAGTAGTTTATTGCCCTTCGCCTTTGCTTTGCGGCTCGCAGCATGATGTTAGCATATTTGCTTGGGGAATTTCTAGACATTGACCTTGACCCAGTGCCGATTGGCCCCAAAGATGACGTCTGTTCTTTGGCTTTAAATTTGTATGTACATGTAATATGAGCTAATTGATTCCAACTGTGCGCCACTCAAGTTTGTTGTTTAAGTCGTTGGTTTTGTACTCACATTGAAAGCACAATGTGCTAATAACTGTAATGCATATGAACTTCAAAAACAACAAATGCATTTTGAGCTTTCGTTCAATTTCTGCTGCTTCAATTGATCCCGCGCGCACGCACACACACACACACATACACACACACGCGCGCGTTTCTTTAACTTGTGCACAATTCTTAACTGATCATTGAATGCCCGACGCGAACACAACTTTTGTCGTCGAGGTGCGAAATAAAATTGAAATAAATTGGTTCAATATCTGAGTATATCTTATTTCCATTTCCATTTCGACGGCGGAGCGCAGCTTTGTTGTTTTTGCCTTTTTAATTTTTTTTTATTATCAACAACGAATCAAAACAAAGAGGGAGCACAAAAACAAATTATATGCCCCAAAAGCTGAGCTTATGAAATAGCGACCACTACACATGTATGCAAAGAAACACACACATGCACACACACACACAGACACGACTTATTGTAGGCCGATCTGAGCAAGGCAAAGCCAACGAGCGATCATAACTGGCCCGACATCCGAGTGGCACTGCCACCTCGTGCGTAAGTCAAAGTGCCGGCAACACAATGTGTTGCTACACACACACACACACGCGCACACACACACACACGTACACAAAAGAAAACATGTTTTTTAATACTGCGATAGCCTATTCAGGGCGAATTCAAATTTTGATCAAATCCTTATAGTTGCACTCAAATATGTTTGTAAATATATTTTGATCATATGTTGTACTTAAAATATTACTAACATATTTAGTAAGTCTGCTTAACGCAAATACAAATGCACATGAAATGAAATGAACTTTAGCTTAAATTATGCATATATATTCTAACTTTCTAGAAATGTGTGTATATGGAATGTATTGATTCTGATGGCGTACAATGCTATGCGTATGTGGTGCCCAACTGCTCCAATAAGCCTTCTTTTATTTCGACCGCTTGCTCTCCTAACAAGCGCCACAAGCAGCCGTGTATCTATGCCACCGGGACTACCTCGGGCGCAGCAGCCACAGAGACAATGACACTGGCTGAAACGTTATTCTCGACCTGTTCTACAGGTTCGATGCTCGGTTGCGACTGCTGTAACTGCTGCGACTGCGACGGCGACTGCTCTGTTGGGGACGTATTCACCGCAATCGTTGTCACTGCAGCCGTCGACGCATAAATGCCATTTGTATCAGCATTGCAATCATTGCCAGCGAGCTGGTCATCATCATCATCATCAACTGGCGTTTCTTGACGCAATACAGCTGCTAAATGGTTATCATTAACTGTCTCCAAAGTCTGGTCAATAACATCGTTAACAACTGCAGCTGCTGCCGCTGCGACTGGCGCTGCCAATGTTTCCATTGTACTTGGCAATGTTTCAGAGTCTACCGCCGCTTGCTCCAATTCAGTGTACCCGTTGCCGCTAGCTCCATTTACATTCAAAAGAACAGATACGTCACCATTGTGCATAGAATGTGGTGTCTTCAGTTCATTGATGATTTTCTCTCCCACTTTGGGGTCCATTTCGTTGATTTTCTCTTGCAGTTTAGATTTGAATTCAATCGGCCATTTGGGAGTCCATTGACGAAAAAGTTTAATCTGTTACAAAAATAATTTCATGTTAGTAAAGTCAATTTAATTACTACGATTTTTTTTTAATAGTTACACGGCATTGAAAAAGACTCATGGGCTTTTCCTGGACACTCGACGTGGCCAGGGAATTGACGACGCCATTTACATAGGTACTACCACCACGTCCATCTTCGCCTGCGTCAACAGACGTGTCTCTTGAGAGATACTCCACCATCTCATAGACAAAATCATCGCGTTGGAGCTCACTCCATTCGTTAAACCATTGAATAATATAACGGAACTCGCCGTCTACTGATAAATTGCTCATAGACATAATTGCTTGTATTTGTGTTGCTCACTTTCTCACACTGAAACACGCCCGCACAATAACTTTTAAATGGTCTATTTGCAATTGAGTTTGTAAGCGCGACTGATGTTTACTGAAATTCTGGCTGCAGTTAACTGATCCTAGGCTCTGGTTGTGTGTCCCAGTGCTGCTATTCGCCTGATAGTTTCTATACTAACAACAACCCGTTTCTAACTTTTCTCACCGCTTGATTACAAAGCCCAGCTCATAACAGCTGTTGCGGCCTTTGGGGCATATCGATAATCTGATATGCAGCGTTGTGCAGCACCTGCATCTGTTCTAGAGAACAAATTAGCATATGAACAAATATAATCGACAAAGTGCCTTGGCATTATTTTTATACATTTGCAACTTAAAATTATAACTGCGACATGTCCCTTAAATACACATTTATGCTACATTTATATATAGTTATTATATCGTAAAACTGAGAAAAGTCATCTGAGTTTTAAAATTTCTGTTTATCGATAAGTTGCGCCTACCCGCTTGTTGCACAGCACTAATCATTTTGGCGTTTCTCAACTCTTAAAAATTTGCAGACAGTAAATAATATTAGAGAACAACTAGGCAGAAAAAATCATCAATTAAAACAAAATATGTCGTCGTCAGAACTGGAAATCCAACAAAAATTTTCGGATAACCAGCAGGAACAAGTGCCCAATGCAGAGATTAATGCCATCAATCATGATTCAACGGCGGAAGCAGGTCAACAAGATTTTGCCGCGGCCGAGCAGTACAAAAATAAAGGAAATGATTTGCTCAAAAGTAAGTTGTCATTCATCACATACACGAGAAACTAGATATGATTACATAGTCGGTAAAGCACATGAAAGACACTAAGAAATTGTATGCAACTCAAGAGCGTCCCGTGTTGTCTGTAAGCTGTCTTCGACCTAACCTTAAAAACAATTTACAGGCATTGGCTCTATGTGCAAATTTGTGTAATTCTTATGTGCTGTTTAAAGGGCAGCTAAAAAGCTTAAATCTGAATGTTAATGTAACTATGACTCATTTCGTCACATTGCAGCCAAGGAATTCTCGAAAGCCATTGACATGTATTCCAAAGCCATAGAACTATACCCCAACAGTGCAATCTACTATGCCAATCGGGCGCTGGCGCATTTACGTCAGGAAAGCTTTGGCCTGGCTCTGCAGGATGGCGTGTCAGCGGTTAAAACGGATCCCAGCTACTTGAAAGGTTACTATCGACGTGCGGCGGCGCACATGTCCCTGGGCAAGTTCAAACAGGCCCTTTCTGATTTTGAATATGTGAGTGCAGTTATTATATAGAGAACCTGTTACGCATGATATTTGATAAGCTATCTTTTTAGGTGGCCAAATGCAGGCCCAATGATAAGGACGCTAAATTAAAATTCACCGAGTGCAGTAAAATTGTTAAAATGCGCGCATTTGAGCGTGCTATCGCTGTAGATAAGCCTGAGAAGACTCTCTCGGAGATGTATAGCGATATGGAGAACATTAGTAAGTAATCGATTGATCATCCGCGCATTGGAAAACCTGCTTTTCCGAGCGTATATTCTATGTATTTTTTTTTTTTTAATTCAGCCATTGAGGATGATTATAAGGGACCTCAACTGGAGGATGACAAGGTTACTTTACAATTTATGAAAGACCTTATGGAACACTATAAGGCACAAAAGAGACTGCATCGCAAGTTCGCATATAAGGTAGTGAATGGTCTTTCAATCGCAATTGAACTTGAATTTCGTGTGACAAAATATTAAACATATGTATGATTGCAGATACTCCGTAACATTGATGAGTACATGCGTGAACAACCATCCCTAGTGGATATTAATGTTCCAGATGACGAGAAGTTCACAATTTGTGGAGATATCCATGGCCAGTTTTATGATTTGATGAATATTTTTGATATAAACGGGCTACCCTCAGAAAAGAATCCGTATCTATTTAATGGAGATTTCGTGGATAGAGGTTCATTCTCTGTAGAATGTATATTTACGCTCTTTGGCTTTAAGTTGCTGTATCCCAATCATTTCTTCTTGTCTCGCGGTAAGTTACAATTTGTAACACCAATCATTGAAATCTAAACTAATTTAATATTGCTTATAGGCAATCACGAAAGCATTAACATGAATCAAATGTACGGATTCACGGGCGAGGTGACTGCCAAGTATAACAACACAATGGCGAATATATTTACGCAAGTATTCAACTGGCTGCCATTATGCCATTGCATAAATCAGAAGATTCTGGTTATGCATGGGGGCCTCTTTTCATCAGACAATGTTACATTGGATAATATAAGACGCATTGAACGCAACTGCCAGCCACCAGAGGAGGGACTCATGTGCGAGTTGCTCTGGTCCGATCCGCAGCAATGGATGGGACGTGGCCCATCTAAGCGCGGCGTGGGCATACAGTTTGGTCCGGACGTAACTGAAGCATTCTGTAACCTGAACAAGTTGGACTATATCATTCGCAGTCACGAGGTCAAAGATATGGGCTATGAGGTGGCCCACAATGGTCAATGCATAACTGTCTTCTCAGCGCCAAACTATTGGTAAGTACCACAAGTCTTAAACTATCAAAACCAAACGTATTGTAAACATTTATTTACAGTGATACTATGGGCAACATGGGCGCATTTATAACAATTACTGGTAACAATTTAAAACCAAATTACAGATCCTTTGAGGCTGTGGTAAGTATTATTGATACAAACCCATCTAATGTGTGCACTAATTATAATATCTTCCATTATATTCACAGCCACATCCTGATGTCAAGCCTATGGCATATGCCAATAGTCTAATGAACTGGCTGGCGTAGTCATAGCAGCATGCTTCCTATGCATAACAATAGCTAAGAACACCACAAACTCCAGCACCCCTGCCCACGCTTAAGAACCCACAACCGCATTAGAACGAACAAAAACACAGATTCAAAAATGCTCATAGGACCTTAATGCACACAGCTTGCTAGTTACTCTACGATATGAGTCAGAGTAAAGAACATAGTTGTGGTATATAGGGTTAAGGGCAGCAGAATAGCAATCAATTCACAACAAATTCAGCTATATTTGATACAAAAACCTTGCATACAAGAATGATTATATAAAAATGGCTTTAGAAGTCAGATGCTAAGTTTTATTGGTGCTAAGCATCTGAGTATTCACTGTACAGTGTTTGTGCGATTTAAAAAAGAAAAAAAAAAACTTAAAAACGTAAACAGTGAGCAAATTTATTATGTTTATGCATAGCATTTAGAAATTGGCAATAATGTGAGACCCCCATACTCCACTGCAAGCCCCTACCTTAAATTTTACTCCCGAAGGCTACAATTCTGTATAAATTAAATTTTTTGTTCAATCCTTGTTTATATAAACTTACACAAGTCATTTTAATAAAAAACAAAAACTATCCAATCGATAAACAGTTTTAGCTCATGCATTGATCAAACAAAGCGAACCATGTGCGCTTTGACAAATACAATAGAAATAGTAAAAGTCTGAAATGTAAAACAATGTAAAGCAATTGCAAATATAAATGTTTATTAGTCAAGATTAGGTTCGACTGGCGCTTCTAGGCGAAAGCCTAAGCCGTGGAATATTCGGTCGATACTAGCTTTGTAGTCCTTAAGATGAGCACGTTGTAGGAGCGTCACATACACAAATGGTCCGTTGTAGGTAGCTAGGTTCTCATAGAATTCCACAGCCAGCGCTTGCATTTCTTTAGGTTGCGCCTGAGACAAATACAACACAACAATGCTAAGCAGATCATGTAGATGTTTGCCCTCAAGCTGCAGGCTGCGTATAAATGATGCCAGATGCCGCAGCAACTGTAACTGCAGTTTATATTCCTGGGTGGGCGCTCGTAAAGTTTCCGTGCTACTGTGGCAACTGGCCGTCTTCAAAAACTGCTTAAGCTGAGGTATAACATCGCTGAGACTGCGCTTTAGGATAAAATCCTTAGCATGCAGAACGAGAATGTGCAATAGGCTGAAGCAGCGACTTAGCACTATCGAGTCTTTCTGACGAAATTTTTCGACCAGCGGTTGCCATAACAGATGGACTAGAGGCAGCAGCTCGTCCTCATAGTCGGCGAGCAGTGGCACACCAGAAATAAGGCATTCCAGTGCAAGAATTTGCTGGGCTTGCTCAGACTGTGAAAGGAACTTGATAGACTGACTTATAATCTCCTTGACAATTTCAATGTGTTGCGGCAGAATGGGTTTTGAAGGCGGTTCCGCTGACGGGTCCTCAATTTCAACTCCGTGCATATTTATATCTGGTTCTTCATTAGGCGCACTATTTAAATCAACAGGAGTGTCAGTTGGCTGCTTATTGAGCACATTTAACCAAGTGCTTAGAATATTCTGCTCCTCATCCACATGCATTTGAATGTCGGCGATCTCTGCCGCTGTAGCACTTTGCCAGCTGACCGCATGCCTCAGGAACGCATTGAAGACGCGCAAATATGAATGTATATTGTCCGTCTGATGTGACTTGGCGCATTCATCGCATATTGTTTGGAAAATACTTTCCAAATGGGGCACATTCCCACGCGAGCTGTACTGCAATACAACTGTGAGTATATCTACGGCTTCACTGCTCTCGGGTGACTGCAATGGAAGATTTCCAAATTGTAATTGTGGCTTCTGTGACCGGACATATTGAGAATACCTTCCTTAGCAGCGCATTCATATGAAAGGTTAGGTAGTCAGTGGAGCATTCTATGAAATGTGAGGGTGCTGCATACTTCAAGGCCAGCTGCATTGAAACGAATGAAAATGTAGCTGCTTCATGGACCATAGTGTTACTGCTAGCTGTAGTAAAGGGTTGGCATGTAAGATTACATATTAACGCATTGATATAATATAACTCACCCAACTTCAGGAGCACTTTGTGCAAGCTGCGAAATATATAACGATCAAACGTATCGCCAATAAATTTGGCACAATGCCCCAAAGCATCCAAAACCAGGCAGGTATGCAGCACATTGAACTGTGCATCCGCAATGCTCACGCGACTATTGACTGGCTCGGTCTCATCATCCGAATCACAATCCTGCGTGCGGACCTCTATCGCGGAAGAGTAGAGACCAGGCGTGTGATCTTTAAACCAGGATGAAGGCTGCGAAGTTTTATAACTTAAATAATTTATAAAGTAGCGTTTGCATAAAATGCTTACCTTGTCGACCTTCAGTCGCCAGGCTGCATCCGGCTGAAGTGCCAAATGCCAGTGCTCTTCGGCAAGTAGCTGATCGACAAAAAGTTGTGCCAGCGATAAACGGCTTTCGCGCGCTACTCTTTGTTGCGGTGTTATCATTAGCGTCATTAACAAAATCGACTCATTCATGGCTGAGCTGCGTCGTTCAATCAAATCCTGGCAAAAGTCAAAGATTAGGCGATTTAAAGACGGCTCAGCGCCCAATAATGCAGCAATGTCATAAAGAACATCTAAGCAACGTTTGGAGTTGAGATACTTGAACTGGCGCCAAGACAATTTGGAACATTGAGCCGCCAGCTCCTTAGCACTGCCCTCTTGGATATGCCGTAGCGAGTATTCCTCATTTAGCAATTCGCGCGATGTACGTTGATCAAGCGCCGTCAGCAGACACATGACAAACAATTCCAAATTCTTTGGTAACAACAGTAGCAGCTGTAACTTGTCAGCGCTAATATTCCGCAAGAATCCCTTGAAAAACAGCAGCTCCGATAACTGTTCGCTGTCATCACAGCGCTGTAGAATGCGTGGCCATTTGTTCAGATGCGCGTCCAGAAGAATTTCTGCATTCTCGTCAAAGATGCTCGCACAGCTCGGCTGCTGCTGCAGCTGCGCTAGGTTCTCACGGCACATTTTCGCTATATCCTTCTCCTCATCCTCCGACAAAGCTAAAACATTCTCCAGCAAATGTATAAAATTATGCTTCAAATTGTGCGCGCAATTCTTGAGGAGTAAGCAACACATTTCCGCGTACATTCGACGCACTGCAACAGAACTGTGGGCGCGCAATATACTCGTTTCGACAAAGATGATGCGCATATGTTTTGATGTTGCTGCTATCCACTGGGCAGAGCGTAGACCAGTTTGGAGCTTCTTGAGGCGCTCCTCGTTCTGCTCAAGACTTAAACGCTTGCTACCAAATATGTTAACGTCATTCAGCAGCTCATTACTTTCCCCGTTGGGTGTGCTAAGGAGTGATTGGAATGCATTCACGTCGTAGCGTGCTTTGATAAACTCCTCAGTGGTTTCCTCGAACATAATGCAGGTGATGCGGCCCAGGGCCTTAATGCCCAACTAAAATATTGTGTTAAATCTTCAATTAGACAGTTAAAATTGTGACTTCCAGGGCACTTACGGATTTAGTTGATTCGCCAACCTTATCATCCGCCATCGCTGTTTTGAAGAGCACAGTAACGATTTTTGGCAGGAATATGAATATGGTGTTGGCTATCTGGTTGCGCAAAACCACGTCGCCAGCATCGGCATCATCGTGCACATAGAAGAGTACCATTAAGCCTTCCAGCGATGAATTGACCAGTTTGCGATACCTTTCCTTTGAGATAAATTCAATGAGCGTGAGTAATATTTGGCCTAAGACCACGACAGCCTCTTTTCCATAAAATGTTTCGAGCACATCGCTTGTGGAACGTTGCAGGGCCATCGTTATGCAGAGTACTGCCGCCAACTTGATTTCCTCGGAGAGATCGGGTTGCATTGCAGAGCCACTGCGATCACGGATCTGCTGCAGGACAACCACTAGAATGGAGCGTAAGGCTTTTTCCTCCGTCAAGTAGAGCTTGGATAGAATGTGTCGCAGGCAATCCAACAAGCTTGTGCGCAGCTCCTGACTTTCCCTGCACAGGACACATATGTAGTTGGGAAAATTTACATTTGTCTTATTTCAGCTACTTACCCTGTAAGTTCGCCAAGCTTAATTACAAGCGGGACTACAATTTGTATTTGAAATATGCGTATTTGTCCAAAGTCAAATCCCATAACTTCTTTCTCTACTTCCGACAAGTTGGCTTTATTAGGCTGCTGTATGAAATTTTCTATGGCAGGCCTAATACGCGTCACATACGTCTCCACCGAGGACATTTTGGCCATAATTCATATATTTAAATAAACATCTACTTTAACCAAAAACAAACTGAAAATATGCTAAGCAGAGAGAGAGCGGCAAGCGTAGAGTCGATCAACAGCTGGTTTTCCTGCTGAGTGCCAGTCACATGTTTACGTATGCGGAAAAGCCGTTAAATTAAAAACGACATTTCGCGCCATTAAATATACAAAATTAAGTAGTATTGCATTAAGATGCATTTAATGGAAACAATTCTTAGTTTTTTTTTTTTCATAATTTTTATATTAAGGATTCAATTATAAAATTCGTGCTGAGCCTCATCCTTGCGCACGCTGGTCTTGTAGCCTTTTTCAAAGTCCTTAGCGTGTGCGATATAACGATTTTCACGAACTGCATGCATTCCAGCTTCCTGGCAAATCGCGTTAATGTCAGCATTCGAAATTCTGTCCGGGCGAGCAATAAGCTCCTCCAGATCCACATCTTCGGCGAGATTCATTTTGGCAGTTATGGTGGTAAAAACCAAACGCTTTTGACGGCGATCTGGCAACGGGAACTCGATCTTACGATCCAAGCGTCCAGGACGCAGTAGAGCCGGATCTAAGGTATCCGCGCGATTAGTTGCCATAATAACCTTAATGTTGGTTGTTTCATCGAAGCCATCCATTTGATTCAAAAGCTCCAGCAAAATGCGCTGAACCTCACGATCGGCGCCTGTCTGAGCGTCAAAGCGTTTCGTGGCAATAGCATCGATTTCATCAATGAATATCACCGATGGCGCATTCTGTTTGGCCAGCCGGAACAGATCACGCACCATACGTGGTCCCTCGCCCAAGTACTTCTGCACGAACTCCGAGCCGACGACGCGAATGAAAGCGGCTGTCGTCTGATTAGCAACCGCTTTGGCCAGCATAGTCTTGCCGCAACCAGGAGGGCCATAGAGTAGTACGCCGCGTGGTGGGTCAATGCCTGCGCACACATAGATGTTTACGTAATCCGTTAGGAACAGCTTTAGCACAGCTTACCAATTTGCTTGTACAAATGAGCGTGGGTCAACGGCAGCTCGACAGCCTCGCGTATTTCTTGCTTTTGCATATCAAGTCCGCCGATGTCCGCATAGCTGACGTCAGGTTTCTCTTCCGGTGACAGCATGGATATGGTGCTATCCGCCTCCGGTGGCACCAAGTCTACCAAACAGTTGCTCTGTTTATGCAATGCCACAGAAGCCGACGGCTTGAGCTGCTCTCTATCAATTGTGGACAGCACGCGCACATAGTAATTTGAGCCAGTGGTTGAGGCGACAATTCCGGTGTTTTCATCAACTGCCTCCAAAAACTGGCCAATAACCAGGGGCACAGCCTTGGCCCGCTTAACCTCTTCCTGAGCATGTAGGTACTCCTTTTTCAGATTACGCTGCTCCTCCTTAATGTAGTCTTCCTGAACTTGCAGCAATTCCAGCTGCAGCTGTAATTTCTTATACACTACATAGCAGTCACTCTCATCCAAGATTTTTGGCTCTACGTTTTCCATATTGTCGTCTTTGGACACTAACATTATTTTTTATTTTCCGTGATTGACAGAAGGACGGCCGATGAGAATGACTTGAAATTTCAAATTGTGTAAACAAAAGTGCTGTAAAGTGTTGTCAATGTTTGCCATTCACGTCGATTGCAATCGCATGAGTGCGTGAGTGCGTGCGTGCGTGAGTCACGAGCAGCTGTTAGTGAGACCTGTTGTTGCTTTTGTTCTTGTTGTTATGTTCTTGTTGTTGGGTTCAACGTGGAACGGTTCTATTTTTAAATCAAATTTCGACTTTATTTTGGAAATGTAAATTCTGCTCTCCACAGCAAAAACAAATATACATTGTATACCTGGGTAATTGGACACACTCGGCAATGCTGAAAACTAAATAGCCTCTGACAAAAATTACAAACATTGTTGACGCCGGCCGGATTATTTGATGGTAAAATATACGTCAGCAGTGAAATATACGTGCATTTACCAAAATACGTTGAATTTGGTGCCAAAGCAATTATGGCAATTATGTAATATGCCAATTTGATATCCAGCTTAGCGGCAAAACATATTTTGAACTCTTTTGCCTCGCCTGTAACTGTGCACAATGGACAAGTTGGTGTTCCTGACGGCCGCGGCCCACCTCGTCTATACGCCGTTCACAAAGGTCGAGGAGAGCTTCAACTTGCAGGCCATGCATGATATATTATATTTGCGCAATAATTTCACACAATATGATCATCATGAATATCCAGGCGTTGTGCCACGCACATTCATAGGACCGCTCATCATATCGATATTGTCGGCGCCGTTTGTGCTGCTCTTCGAGTCGCTGAACATCAATAAATTCTGGGCACAATATGTAGGTAAAAAAAAAACACTTGTAAATGAACTCTGACTGCCCGATTCTAATGCTAATATATCGTTCACAGTGCGCCTTGTCTTGGCTGCATCTATTTCATTTGCTTGGAACAACTTGCGTCGAGCTGTAACAAAGATTTATGGCGTCGAAGTTCGTCTGTGGTTTACGGCAATTACCATATCACAATTTCACTATATTTTCTACATGACGCGTCCTCTGCCGAACGTTTTTGCACTGCCATTTGGTTTGTAGTTCTATTATTTATTGTTAAATACATATTTATTATTTAAATTTCGTTTGATTTTAGTGCTCTATGCAATTGCTTATTGGATGCGTGGCCAAACGAAGCCCTTTATCATCTGTTCAGGCATTTCTATAATTGTATTCCGCTCCGAGTTGGCAATTTTTTTGGGCTTGCTGCTTGCTTTGGACTTATTACAGCAAAAGCTGTCCATTGATGGGTATGGCTAATATATATAAATTGCCTGTTGTCGCTGTTTAATAATTGACCTTTCCCCACAGTTTGCTGAAGATCGCTTTGCCAGCTGGTCTGTGTATTTTGGCAAGCACAGTGTTGGTGGATTCGTTCTTTTGGCGTCGCCTGCTGTGGCCCGAGGGTGAAGTGCTATGGTACAATACGATACTTAACAAGAGCTCCAACTGGGGCACATCACCATTTTTGTGGTACTTTTACTCTGCTCTACCTCGTGCTATGGGCGCTTCGTTGGCCTTTGTGCCCATTGGCATTTACTTTGAGAGGCGGCTAAGGCCCTTGGCTCTATGTGCAGTGGCGTTTGTGTTGTTGTATTCAATACTGCCACACAAGGAGCTTCGCTTCATAATATATGTATTTCCCGTTTTAAATATTGCAGCAGCGTGCGGTTGCGAACGCTTGTAAGTTGACATATTTTATTTTTATTTTGCCTATATTGAAATGTCTCTTTCATTTGAAAGGTGGATGAACAGGGCCAAATCGGCTTGGCACAGCTTCCTGGCGATCCTTGCTGTCGCACATTTGCTATTCAACATGGTTATGACCATATTCCTGCTAGTTGTTTCGGGCACTAACTATCCAGGTGGAGCAGCGCTTTCTCGATTACATCGTCTGGAGGTGGCCAATCCAAATGTTTCGGTGCACATTGCAAACTTAGCTGCGCAGAGCGGCGTATCGCGCTTTATGGAAATAAAAAGTGATTGGATCTACAGTAAGGATGAAACGATGAACTATACTCAAGCCGAAATTGCGAACTACAGTCACTTGTTGGTGGAAGCGAAAAATAAGAACAACGCGGAGCTGTGGGCAACGCTGCAGGAGGATTTCGAAATATTGGAGTTTATAGATTGCTTCAATAGCATCGGCATACAATACAACTCCATCTTGCCAGTGCGCATCAAGACGAAGCCGTGCATAGGCATTCTGAAGAAGCGATTAAATGTGGAGAAGGCTTCTCGACATCAAAAGAAGCCAGCAAAGGATAAGGACTCAAAAGAAAGTCCAAAAAACAAACGCAAGAAAGACAAAATTGAAGCAGGCGTTTCTAAGCAATATCAGGATATGTCTTTAGTGGAAGACGAAACTAAAGTTATTATAAAAGAACCCGAGCCGATTGAGATCCCCAAACAAATGGCAGGTTTAGAAGACGATGACGATGACGATGGAATAGTAGCTACTGTGGAAGAAACATCATTGGAACAGAATGCAGATGGAATTGAAGCAACTAAAGAAATCAATTTTCAGGAGTTGCGTAATCTTGCCTTAGACCATACAACACGTAAATCACGTGCTGCTACTAAACTCAAAATACGAAAAATAATTGAACAGCACTACAGGTCCAAGGGAAGACCTATCGAAAACGATTCTGCGGAACAGCATAAAACGACTGGGGCGCGCACTGGAATGCGTCAATCGGTAAAGTCAATCATTAAGCAAGAGAAGATCAAAGAGATGATTGAACAGATCGCCACCATGGATCTGACGCGCATCTGCGACTTGGAAAAGACATCGACAAAGGACTGTTTGAAGCAGGTTATTGACAAGATTGACGATGGAAGCATTAAAGCAAATTGACAAATGTATTTACCCTTTTGAGTCTGGCCTTATTATTAGTAAAGCTTAAATGATAATTTATAATAAAGATATTACCAATGTTAAATTCAATGCAAATGTAAATTTTATTCGCACTGAATGAAATGCTGCAGTCTTAACAATGTAAATTGCGGAACGTTTGTGACATCAAAATGATTAAATTTGTTTCTGAAATTTACTAAACAGTAACATTACCTCATGTTGAGCTTCATCAACGTGTACTAAGTATATAATTATTATATGCAATTATATAAGAATTGAATGGCTGCTTAAGTCCATCTGATTTTAGGCAGCCATAATTGAACATAATCTAGTAGCTCAGGCCAATATATAGCCGAACCATAGATATATATCGCCAAGAGTACCCACGAGACAGAGCAGAAGGGTGAGTCTGTACAGAACATTATCCATGCCTCCACCCTTGAGGAATACGGGTTTTCCGTCGTTTTCCTGAAACTGCTTCTGTAGCTTGGCCATCTTGGGTGTTATCTTTCCAGGACCACCACCACATTTGTTCATCTCAATCGGCGATGGTTGAATTGAACGATTCAATATAAGCATGGGTGCAAGAGAGTTACACCCATTGACTTCACGCAAGAGAGGCTGTTCATATTTAATGAGATTGTGATTAAATTAAGGTAACTACAAATACTTACGCGAAATTTTGTAATAAAATTCCTCTGCATTTTGGAATAAAATTTGTAATAGCAGATAATTTTATTTGGTGTGAATCAAAGTTGAAATTTTCAGGAATGAGCCCGACAGCAAACCTAGCCTACTAACTAAGTTTTAAATGTGGAAACTGATCTACGTTTATATGTAGAGAAAAAAAATATATAAAAGCCTACTATTTATTTATAGTTCAAAAATTTAAGTATTTAACGTATTTGTGTAACATGTCTGAAATAAGTTTTTGCAGATTAATTCGAAGAAAAGAAAGAAAAATGGATCTTAAATTACCTGCAAGAATTTTCACGGCAAAAAAAGGCAATTAACTTTATCGTTTTCTAACTTCTTAGTTTTTACGGCTTGTGCTTTGTTTCGAAAATATATATAAAACAGATTTTCAAATGATTCCGCCAGAATATCGATAAATCTGGTATCTGATATCGATTGTCAAGTATCGTAAATGTATATAAATAATATCGATTATATACTGAACATCCGTACGATATTAACAACAATTGGCGAAGCGTTTGCGAATTTGCTGCTTAACTGATTATATTTCATAAATCCATAAATATAGTCAGAACAGCAGCAATGTCCCTGGCTAAATATTTAAATCGCTCCGTGGGCAAAGCGAGTGCGGGGGTTGCCTCGCGAATCTGTACACTGAAACCCATGGAGGCCGAACATTGTGCTATACACTTGGCAAGCGGCAAAAATGTTGTTGGACGCAGCAAGGAAACCGGCATACGTGATACGCGCTGTTCCAAGAAACAAGTTCAACTTCAAGTTGATTTAAAACTGGGACGGATTCAGTTAAAGGTGCTCGGGCTGAATCCTTGTGGCATTAATGGCGTCATGGCTATGCAGGACACGGAATGCGAACTACAGCACGGCGACCTATTAGAAATTGTCTACGGGCGGCATCCATACGAGGTAGTCTTCAATCCTGCACCAGAGAATCAGAGCCAGTGCCAAGAAGGCAGCAAAGAGGAGCAAGAAACAGTTCCCGTGGGTGCTGCCACCGAGGAAGAGAAGTGGGACGCGGTTGCGAGTGGTAAATTGGTAATTTACAGCAGCGCCGGTTTGACTGCTTCCGCGAAGATTGCTGGCTATGATATGGATGGCACCATTATTAAGACCAAATCCGGGAATGTATTTCCGAAGAACACAGACGACTGGCAAATTATCTATCCCGAGGTGCCCGAGAAGCTACAGCGTTTGCACAAGGATGGCTTTAAAATATGTTTCTTTACCAATCAGGGCGGCATAGCGCGCGGTAAAATCAAACTCCAAGATTTTAAAGTAAAAGTCAAAAACATAGTAACAAAGTTGGGTGTACCCGTGCAGGTCTTCATAGCTATAGGCAATGGTTACTATCGGAAGCCATTGCCAGGCATGTGGGAACATCTCAAAAATGAAATGAATGACAATGTGGCTATAAACTTGGATCGTTGTTTCTTTGTTGGCGATGCAGCTGGCCGACCAGAGACGGGCAAAGGTGTCACCAAGCAACGCAAGGATCATTCATTGGCTGATCGTCTATTTGCCACCAACATTGGCGTATCTTTCTACACGCCCGAGGTTCATTTTCTGAACAAGCGCGTTGAGCAGTGGAACAAGCCGGACTTCGAGCCCAGCAGCGTGGATAACCAAATACCACAGTTTGAGCCAGATGATCTACAGTTAAGCGCAGACAAATGCGAGATGATAATTATGGTTGGCCTACCCGGCTCGGGCAAGAGTCATTTTTGTGCCGAGGTGCTCGGCGGCAAAGGCTACAAAATCGCAAACGCAGACACTTTGGGTAGCACACCGGCGTGTCTTAATGCCTGTCAGCGTGCGCTAAGCGCTGGCAAATCTTGTGTAGTGGATAACACCAATTTGGACGTGGCATCGCGTAAAAAATTTGTAGAGCTGGCCGTGGCAAAGAACGTGCCTTGTCGTTGTTTTGTGATGAATGTGACGGCGGCGCAGGCGAAGCATAATATTGCCTATCGGGAACTGTTGGACACTGGACACTCTTCAATAAATGACATGGTGTTCAACATGATGAAGAAAAAGTACCAGGTTCCTACTCTGGACGAAGGCTTTACCACAATTCACAAAGTTAATTTTAAGCCGCAGTTTTCCAACGATAACGATGAAAAATTATACAAAATGTATTTGCTTGAGAAATAGCCGTTGCCATGTATTCTAATCTAACGTAAATATTCGTTTTGCAATATCATCTATAAGCCAATCCATGGAACTTAACAGCTTCTCTCCAGTTACTGCGCTAACTCCAACTACCAACCAGTGATGTGTGGTGATATCATCCAAACATAGTATCTGTAAACCATAGTGTTAAAAAAAATTGATATCGTTAAAATAAATATATGTCGAAGTACGAGACCTCTTTGATTTCGTTTGAGTTTAGAGCGCCAGGCAAATCCTGTTTGTTACACAGCACAAGTAACGTGGCGCCAGCTAAGCGCTCCTCCTGTAGCAGTATTTGCATCTCTTGCTTACAGGATTCCATGCGCATACGATCTGCACTGTCCACGACCCAGACAAGACCATCAGTGCACTCAAAATAGTTGCGCCAATAGGAACGCAACGAGCGCTGTCCGCCCACATCCCACATGTTTAGTGTGTAGCCATTGTGTTCCAGTGTCTTAATATTAAAGCCCAAGGTGGGCGAGATTTCGTCAATGGGCTCTCCATTAAAACGCTTGAGGATTGTTGTTTTGCCTGCGTTGTCCAGCCCACTGCATATGTTAAATACCATGAATCACAGTATTTCAAAGTTGAAAGATTGTATACACTTACAGCAGTAGAATACGCATCTCCTTTTCCTTTTGACGCATCTTTTTCAATACTGTTAAGAAGCCCATGGCGTCTTTCAGCTGTTTGTTGACTTTCAAAACTAATAAATTAAATGTATACTGAACAGTTGCGGCAATACAGTTATAACTATTTGTTTGTTGTGAGTGGCGCCCACGAACAATGGTGAATGTCAAATCAATGAGAATGGCATTTTTGAAACGATGTGGCAACTATGTTCTCCATAGACGTCAAACAGCTGTCATAATCTGAGGCCCGTAAATTTCTCGCTTCAGCAATTCAGACCATTTGCATTTCGATTGCTAAAAATAAAAATATTTTAAGCAAAATGATGAACCTATCCAGAGTGAGTATAAAATGAGAAACATTCTTATTATGAAGCATTAAATTTATCCATGGCATTCTCCTGGAAGAATGTATATATTATGACTTAATTACGTAAGATTTGCTGGAGCACCCAAACTAACCGCAAATTTTGTTATCATAGGCCGTTGTGCGCAGCTTTGCTACCACCAGCGCCCGTCGTGCAACTGCGACCAGCAAGGATCAGATTGAAAAGGGTTACTTTGAAATCCGTAAGGTGCAGGAGCACTTCCAAAAGAAGGACGGCAAGCCCGTTTTCCTGAAGGGCTCCGCCTTCGATAGTGTGCTGTACCGCATCACCATGGCGCTTGCCCTGGTCGGCATTGGTGGCATGGGCAAGCTTTTCTGGGAGCTCAGTGTGCCCCAGAAACAGGAGTAAGGCGCAAGCAGTATAGTCTAACCTTTAAGCTAAGCCATTACCAGCAAATCCGCAAAACCATCCCCGGCACATTTGTTGCAGCAATGTTACCTTATATTTCTGTGTTTTGATAGCGTAAGTAAAGCACATATATATAGATATATATATTTGGTTGGCCTTATCTAAATGTAATATCTTTCAGAGCCGAGAGCCCACAACACCTTGTTTACAACCAAATAGATTGCTGCTTGTGTTAATTAAGTTAAAAGTGTGTCTAAACATTCGCAAAAGCATTTCAAGCTTGGAAATATAAGAACTTGTCTGTAAAGTAATAAGATTACAAGAACTTTTTCATCCAGTTTATTTCAGCAACTTAACAAAATGCAGCTTAAGTTCGGTTGGGTTCATTTGCCGAATCTTTGACATGTCTGTATATATTTCTGTTTTGTCGCAAAACACACACTTACTAACATGAAATTGTATTGACGTTGAATAAACAAACACAAGGCGACAAAACGAAAATCGCCGACGCTGTGTCAATGTGTCGGGTTGGATGTGGCGAGGAGTCCGATTTATAAATCAAAGGGCGGCAACTCGGCGCGTTGCCTTTGGCATGGAAATGTATTTTAAATCGAGCGAATCATGCTGCGCTTTAACACACATTGCCGCACACACACACACACACACGCACGCACAACCAGCAGCAACATGCATGTTGTGTGTTTATTAATAACTGAAAAAAGGAGCAACAAAAACAAAAGAACGCACAGAAGTGCAGCGAAATGTGCAATTTAAGGCGTTTTCATTAGTTATTTCTCCATAAACACTTAAATAAAACTAAAGCATTTAAAATATAAAAAAAAAAGAAAAGGGAAACACAAATATAGCAATTTTAAGAGTTTTCTGTGCAAATTTACACATATTTACACACACTTGTGTGCGCTTGTGTACATGGGGGAGAAATAAGTCGAAGAACAACTATTTTGCTATTTCATTTGCCGTTACGGTACATTTAAATTTTGAGATGTGCACGCGAAGCGCATTAAAACGAACGCGAGTTTACCGTTAACATATTTGGGCGGATGTGTGTAGGTGGTTCGGTACTTGGTTGAACTAGAACCGATTATTTCTTCTGGAGAAGATTGTAAATGCATTTTCCGTGAATTTTATGTTTGCACTCCAAAACTATTATATCTAATTCTTTATTTTTGCATAATTAATTAAGCAGGCGCAGGCCCTTTGCTGTGGAAGAAATGTGCACTTGTCGTAAACTTATCATATTTCATAGACTGTGAAAAATGTGTGTATGACAAAATGCCAAGGAGCCGGCCAGAACGGGATCAGCACGGCGAACCCAACTCCGGCCCAACTGCGACCGGCTGTCGTTCCACGCGACTGCCCACAGCCAAATTACAATAATAACTCAAAACGCATAGAAGATGCGCTTCAATCCTTTGCCAAAAACAATATAAGGAACGGGCAAACAAAAGGGGGCGGGCATCGGAGTAGCGTGTAGAATCAAGAATCGAAAAATGTGTTTCATTAAATGTTATTTATAGTCAGCAATTTTATGCATTTAAAGCGCGTCTATCAACGGCAGCATCAGCATCTGCATCAGCATCAGCATCTGCATCTGCATCTGAGCATCGCCATGCGGAAACGACGACGACGCCATATTGAAATTAACTGTGGCGCGTTCTCATGGGTGAAGGGTGCGAGAGCGAGATAGATATAGATATAGGGTGAGCGCCATTGCGACCCCAATAGATGCCGATCCTAATGCATGGCATGGAAACTTTCACCTTTTTCTTTATTATTTTTTTTTTTTTCAGATTCGTTTTGCATTTGTTTGTTTTTACTGCGGCATAGATAATTTTGTAGTTTTCCTTTTCACGTGAAATATTGCCGGGCAAACGGCGCGCGCGCTCAGATCCAGGCCTTTGCCTATGCCAATGCTCTGCCGTCGCAGTGGCAGCAGCCGCAGCCACAAATCAGAATGTCGTTGAAGCATTCAAGTGCAACCGGCGTGAAGCGAATTCGCTGCTGCGGCTGCCAGTCTCCGGCTACGTTGCGGCAAATCTGGGCAACTCTCAGATGAACGGCCGTTGAGTGAGCAACGTCAGCGTTCCATCTATTGTCAGATTGTCGTCGTCTTGGTCTTCACAGCCGCCGGACAGGGCGGCAGTAGACCTACAAACGGTTTTTGTGTATCGATCGATCGATCTATCTATCCAGGCACGTCCCACACGTTCCACACGAAACCAGTTTGGCCTATTAACACTTCGATTACAAGACAACTTTTTTTTTCAGCATTTTTCTGGGTGGTCTTGAGCGACGCTTTTAGTTAAATTTTTGATTTATTTGAGCTTCAATTAGTCGTTGAACAAATCTGTTTATTTGCTTTTAATTATTGTTTGAAACCACATTGCCGTGCCCCTGGCACAGGTTAGAGGGCGACTCATACACCCAGACTGCTCGGTCGGCAACTTTGTGGCTTCATGTTGTTGCTTCCGAGTTATGTATAACTGGCCAGAGTAAACCCTGGCGAAGAAGGTTTTTAATTAACACCAACAATATAATTTACGAAAAACATCAAATACGCGCGCATTATTAATGCATGTTTAAGTGATTTTATACACATTAAGAACAAGTATAAATATTGCTAAATTATTTGTTAAAGCCCTCAAAATAAAAGGTGTTGGAATTAAAAAGTAATTGTTCAAGTACAATTACTTGAAGCGATGCATTCATTAAAGATGTTTCCATATGTGCAACCATAACGAGAATTCCAAATTTAATTGTACACTTTGGATTTTAATTAACTTTATAAGCATCGCTAAAATTGATCGCTTATAAATAATACAATATAATTATTTGTATACAAAACTCATAGATGATTAAATGCGGGAAACAAAAACAGACTGCATGCTCTTAAAAATATCGAAATGCATTTTGAAAATTTATAAACCATAACGCCCCCAGACACTGGGCATGGGCTTGAGAATGGGAACAGCATCGAAAGCGGCGGCGGCAACAACAAAATCAAATCAGCGTGAAAGATGCGCTTCCCATTTCCCGCCGCACCAGCAAACACGTATGTATATCCCTAGGCAAAGAGCGTGAGGCAGATATTTGGCCTGTGAAATTGAAACCGACGAGAAGTAGAAACATATGTCCAAATCTTGCACACAGCCGCTGACTTGTCCAGCGCAGCCTACCGCGCAATATTACAAACAACTTCATTGGATTGTTAGTGCCGTGCGCGGGTGCGAACCTGCCGGATCAGGTGACAGTTGCGGTGCGTTGCCTCTCAAGTGAGCCGCTTCAGGTTTATTCCAATAATTCATCGTTAACTGCAATTGCGCTGAGCCATTTTATGTCCACGTCAAGGACGCAACACTCAAGTGGCTGCCGGCCGTTGCACAACATATTCATCAACGCCTAGTTGAGAGCCCGTCTAACGTAGTGCATCCCACCTTTTAAGTGCCACGCTCGTGTAGCTGGCGTAGACAATGCGACGCTTCCGTCCAGCGTTAACACCCTTTGGTCGGCGTGTTATGTAAGCTGGGCTGCCGACTTTGCTGCTGCTCCGAATATGTCAGTTTTATAACACATTTTGCCCACTTTGCGGCACTTGAACTAACCCTCATACCCGCTCGCCCCGTTCCACGTTCAAATCCGCGGATGACTCTGTCACGGATGCGCCTTTTGTTTTCTCAAGTGTCGCGCATATTTTCCTTGACTTCGCCTTGCTGCTGTGTTGTTATTTTTGCTGGGTGTTATAACACAAAAATAAGAAAGGCAAAAACACATAATATTCATTTGTTATGCTTGTCATTTGTCGCCGCTGGCGGCAACTTCAAAGCATGTCACCCAATTTGTTAAACGCACATAATTTCGTCTCCATCTTCAGCTGGGCTCGTCTTTACGGCATGCGGCTTTTAATTTTCGCATATGGCTAATTATTATAATTATTTTTTTTTTGACTTATACATATGTAAGTTAAGTCGTAAAGTATTGTATCATATACCAAATATTTAATGGGTGAAATTTTCCTACTTTGAAGTCGAACTAAAGATTCTTCCAAAAAATATATCCACATCAAAAGAAGCCATCTACATTAGAGGGCTACTTAAGTAAATATATATAAAAGATCGGACTAAAATTCATTTTCAAACTTCTTTGTTTAAATGCATGTAGGTGGAGTTTGGGACTTATTGGAAAAACCAATCCACCTTGGTGGAAGTGGGGCATAATTATTGGTTGGGTAAAGCTTCAAGATTAAAGGATCGAAGATCAAAGATCAAAATGCACTGCTCATGGGTAAATAGGGGTCAGTTGTATTAGCAAAAATGAATGTTACACCCGTTCAACACATACGGCCATACGATCAACCATATACCATATATCTGGGCGTGCTTTGCCAAGCCCGATCAGGTTTTTGTTTATTCGGAGAACTTTATTTAGAAACTTAATAAATACCTGTCTGATACCTTTGAGAAATTTCATCAATAGGTAGATAATTAAATTGACTTCAAATTCATTTTTTAATGTCTACGTGATATATATGATAGCAGAGAGCTAACCTGCAGGTTTTACTTGAATTCATGAGAATCACATAGTAGGGCGGCATTTGAAATTCTTTCCTTCATTAATTTGGAATGCAGCGGGAAAAGTTTCGAAAAGTCAACAAGTCGGACAAGTTTTCAACTTATAATTTTTATCAACAGTTTTTCCTATTTCCAGCGAATAGAAAAAATCATGATCATTAGCTGGAAATCATGATCATCAATCAGGCAGTCAGAATGCTGGAGAATATCAATTCGATATATTTGAAGAGGTAAATCTTAAAATAAAAAGTTTCGACTTTGAAAGTTATTGTTAAACATTTTACAAGAATGTAAAAAGCTAGTTACAACATTTCAAATTTAGCTAAGAAACTGAGCAAAATCATTCACAAGGCAAACGTTCACAATGGCGATCATCAGAACGAGTCTGCGAGAGAGCAGCGAGTTGAATTCGCAACAAAAGGTACGCGCAGGTAGGCCAAACCGATCGCAGGGAGGCGTGTCCAACTCGTCGGTGAGAGCGTGTCTGTGTGTGTGTGTGTAGTGCACACAATCGCAATGTGGGCGCTCGCTCACACATACATACATGTGCACAGACATGCACACAGAGATTGACATGCAAATGTAAGTGTAATAGAGCGGCGTGAGACGAGTGCCATTTTAATGAGGGTACGACAACAAAAATTGGCAGCTACCATTAAATGACGAAATAAAATATTAGTGACAATAATATGAAGACAAAAACATTTTTTATAATTAAGCCTAACCATGCGAAACGCAACGCCTCGGCGAGAATCGAAATGCAGCATCGCAGCAACGCCGACAGCAGCCGCACCAGATACAAGGTGGGAGAGCCGCATGGCCCCCTCCCGGCTGGGCAAAAGGCAAAAAGGGACATGGCCCTGCGCCGCTTTATTAGCAACAACGATCGCTCTAACGATACGATTTTGTTAATGAAGCAAAAATAGATGCACACGATCATCAGCTAAATGGCGATGTCGAACTAGGCGGTCTGCCTCGGCCCCGCCTCCCGGTGTCAGTCGGCCTCAGTATGTGTGTGATGCTAAAAAGTCATGACATCGCTCGGGCACACTGCGGAACGCTACGGATACGCTTACTTGCTTCAGATTGGCCATTCAAGCATTCAAAAATTAACTCCGCCCGGTTGCGTATGGTTAGTCAGAGTCACAAGAGAAGACTACTCGTGCGCAGCTGAGATACGAGCATACAACTACACGATATATACTCACACTGATGCATGCACACATACAAGTACATATATCGTTGTCGGCGCACAGGAGCGCATCGAGGGCGGTTATTGTCTTTTGGGTACTACTATATTTTATAAAACCCTATGCTTATCTTGGACTAACTTAAAACTAAACTATAGCGAATACAAAAATATATTCTGGCCGATATTCTTTAAGAACCTGTAACTGTTATACATAAGCTAGCCATACGTTTTGGAAATTAAAGCAAATTAAACACTCTATTGATAATTGATTAGTTGATTATTTGGCTGCGCCTGTTCAATATCTACTCACACAATTGTTGGGCGCTCGCACCTTTGAGTGCGCTCCTGTTCGCTGGCAGACATACTTCATTTTTGTTATTTTGCCAGCCAACTAAAACACGCACACCAACACACAACAACAGCGCCATTAAAACCAACAAATACAAAGCGATCGCCGCCCTCAGTGAGAGTGTGTGCAATATGAATGCGAGTGTAAAGAGGAAACACAAATCATGCACAGACACAGACACACGCACGCACCCACACAGTTGCATGCACGCAAACAGCCCGGGAGAGAGAGAGAGTGCAAGAAGGAGAGAGCACGAGATCTTGGGATGCTGCGTCGCTGTCGTCGTCGTCGTCGTTGCTCGTTTTGGCTGTTGGTTCTTTTCGCATGTGGCTGTGGATTGATGAACGTGAGCGACCGTTAGTCGCAGTGGACACGGGTGACGAACAACAACAAGTTGGAGCTGTGACTGTGCAAGTGAAAGGCGCGCTGCTCCCACACGGATCACGGATCACGGATCAGTAGCTGAAAGCAACGGGCAATTGGATTTTAATGCGGAACTGCAAGTGACAAGAATAAGTGTGATCTTTGTGTTTGATGTGTGATGCAATTTCTGATTCCGATTAATTACAAACAAGCATTTGTTATTAATGGCAAATTTCTGGCCACCGACTATGCTTTGAATAATGCACAAAATCTGAAAAGTAAATTCGTAAAGTGACCAAAAGTACCACACACAAAAATAAAGTGTGAAAAGTGCGTGATAATTATTGAACAAAAGCCATCGATCGCTTGCCAAAATGTGCTAATCAGATTTCAGCTGTGGTTCAGCAACTCACCTGTCTACAGTTAGCCCGTAACTACGTTAAGAGCGAAGCGAAACGCCAAACCAATCGAAATCCAATCAGGCAACCCAACTGGCGTCGCGCCGGCAACAAGCGCCGTCAATTTGTACAAATTTCATGCCTTAATTGAAACTAACAATACGTCCAAGTGTGATTATTTAACGGTTAACCCAAACTCCCTGCCACCCGATTACAATTAAGAAAAAAAAAATATATATATATATATGAATATATATAAATATTAATTCACACAACAGAGAAAGTACTGAAATTGGATTTGGAGTAGCTTATGAGTAGCTGGGATAGCTAAAAGCAGAAACAATTGTGGAGTTCTTCAATCTGGAAATGGACCCAGGTATGTTGCAGCGAGATAAACAATTAATATTAACATTTATCTTAAAGCTATAAATGTCTGTCTTAAATATAGATAATAATATCCCTATGATAGCTCATGCAAACTTTCTAGCACGATCAGGTCATCAGCCGGATCTATTGAAATCTCATTCTGAAATCTGTGAAAACCGTCGGCATTTCTTGGCATGGGTACAACATTTCTTTGAGTAAAGTGGGGAAATTCAGAAGACGTAAAGTCTTTCGGCGCATTCACATCCTGCTAACCCAGTCGCCAAGTGAACACCTGACCCGGTGTCGCAATGTCCAATGCAAACATTGAGCAGCTACCTTCGAGTACAAGTCCAAGACACTTTTCGATATAGCCGTATTTGCTTTTGATTTTCGTTTCAAAGGTGAGCAGCGCCGCCGTCGTCTGCGCATGATCGACAGCCTCCCGGTAGCAGAGTCGATTGTTTGTCTTGCCCGGAGATGGGCGATGCCAAAGCTGAGGCCCAAGTGGAAAATATTGTCGGTAGCGACGTTGTCAATGCCTCTAATTTAACTAATGATCGTTGTAATGTTTGTGGTCTGTGCCATGGTGTTTGTCGTGCGGTCTTCACTTTTGCCGCCAAGTGTCCGTGTCTCTGTTTGTCCATATACTTTGGCCCAAAAAAACAAGAGGAAAACAAAAATTGAGCATAATACCACATAACATTAGCTGGCCGGCCAAAATTCATATAGAGAGTTGTGTTGAGTGCCGGATTTGTGGACATATCGATGTTCAATTAGGCATCTGCGCAATCTTCAAAATAAACGCAATTCCAAATATTTTGGCATGCGTTAAAACAAGTGCTTAAAGACATCAATTATGCAATAGCCTGATGCCATCATTTCCATCATTAGCCTAAATTAGTAAGTGATAATAAAATAGAAATTTATATTAATTGGTGGTGCTATTGTGTGCTATGGTGTTTACTCTAAAACTAAAAATTATTTATTATTATTATTATTATTATGCTAATCAGACAAATCAGAAAGTAATCCAATAAGACATATTTGAACAGCTACAACAGCTACAACAATGAAATACTCAAAAAAATATGCACTCAGTTTTGATGTCATTTATGCAACCAATGCAGTCGCTGTTCTGTCGCATTTAGAGCTTGGAAGATCTTGCACTTTGGTCCATTAATGACTTGCTTTCGATGCTTTGACATTTTGTTTGTGCACAGCATTGTTTGCTTAGAATGGCCACAGACAGAGCAGACGGAGCCAGTGCAGCCAGTGGAGCCAGTGCCATGGTAGATGCAGAAATGCGTGACTAACGGCAACCGGTAGCCATCTACTTCGGTAGCTAAACATAAAAGACCAACACGGGCTGCCAACGGGCGCAGCGGCGAGATGCTAAAATCACAGAAATGGGCAGTAAAACAAAAGGCAATAAGAACAACAACAACAACAACGACCAAGACGCAGACGAAGACGGTCACAAATGCAGGCAAACACTTGAGAGAGAGAGAGAGGGAGAGAGAGAGGAAAGAGTCGCGTCAATGTGTACACGTCTTAATGGAAGTGTATACATGTGCACGCATATGCCCAGGAGGAGCAGGGCGGCAGGGCAGTCACGGGCAGTCACGGGCAGTCATCGTAAAACTCCTGATATTCCTGATTGCGTTCAAGTTTTGGCCAACGCTTGACTTACTTGATTATATGGCGTCGGTTGTCGGTGGCCCGCACAGAGGCGACATTAATTAAATCAGCCGCCAGTTAGCTGGTGCGTATATATATATATATATTTCATTATGCTAATGGCCGCCCACTTGGAGCCGCTCCCGCAGGATTTGCTGGCACTTGACAAGCGCAAGTGCAACATGAGCAGCACAAATGACGTCCGCTGCAATGGCAAAACTCTGCTCATTAACATAAATTTAATGATTTTCTAATCGCTGCATCTGCCACAAAGGGGGGCACGGGCACGTGTTGGCGCCCCTTGGGTAGTAATTAATGCGCACTCATCAATATGAGATGCCAAGCCGAAGCAAAGCAGACATCTGGCTAGATGCTAGAGCTCGACTAAGTCTCAGACTAACCCCTTGATGCCGCTGGCGATTCCCAAAGGGGACGATCCACGACCCACGACCCACGACCTACGATCGGAACTGCAGCTCCAGAGCTCAAAGTGCGCCGGGCAACACATGACAGCGCAGCCAAAATTTATGCCTGTCAGCGGCGGGCGATTCTCTTGTTGCACATAGCTCGGATGCCGGTGCTGGCGGCGCAGCGGATTCGGTTCTAGTACATTGGCAATGATTGGTTGGATTTTGTGCATTTGCCAATGGCAAATGCGCGCTCGCATTGTCCACATTCTTGGTACGCGTAATTGAAGTCACCGCAGCATGTCTTGGGCGCGCCCCCTTTTACATGCGCCGGCAACGGGAACGGGCACAGGCAGCCCGAGGCTCGGGGCTCAGACGCTGTCATATTTTTCTAGTGCGATTCGGCGGGGTCTTGGGATCTAGTGCGTTGCCAGTTTGCGGTGCCTGCCGTGATTTATGGAGCCATTCATTTCTGTTGACAGACAAAGTTGTTGACGCTGAAGGAATCTATTTAGTTTTATGTACTTTTGATATCCACATGCTGGGGCCAAGGGCAGGGGCAAGGGTGCGGGTGAGGGTGAGGGTGTAGCTAAGGCGTAGCTCAAACAAAGTAAAATGAGCTTAATTTATTATTTAAAGCAACAGCTTATATTGAGTTCATCTGAGATTTATATGCAGAGCTGTCAATATGATGCAATTTATTTAAAAACAATTAATTATTTAAACGTTATCAAAGCCTTGGACAGTTTCAGTGCAAGAAGACAAGCAGCATTTATAAATTTACAAGTAGTCGATCCATCCAAAACCGAAGCACAAAACATAATACGAAATGTTATTAAACTTTCGAATTCCTGAAGCAAATCCTATTTCATGGAAGCCAAACTGTAATTTACACAGGTTTTTCAATTAATATTATAAAGTAAATCTGTCTAACTTTAGCATAACTTAAACTCCCTGTACGATGACATGTAGCGTACCACAAGCAAGCACAAATTAAAGATCGGTTAATTTGAAGTAAACACATGACAATCCCGCACTCTTTTTGCATGATAACGCTAGGAATTGAACTCTTGCTGATTAAATGGGAATAACATTGCCGCAGTTCAAAGGGACAGCACGACGGACAGTCTGCGTGGCAGACGCTTCCTTCTTCTTGGCTGGCCCAAGTGAGCGCGGACTTGTAAAAAAGAAAAAAATGCACTGATAAATAAATGCGATTGTGCGGCAAATTGTGCAACGCTCCGAATGCAAAGTTGTCGACAAGCTCTTATATAGCACTTAGTATGTGTATTGGCATGAAATCAAGTAAAACGTGAATTTTAATCGTCAACGAACAAGTGAAACGATTATTTTTAAAACAAGAATAATAAGTTTGGGCTGCTAACATGCATTGTGCGTATGTGTGCTTAGTGTGCTTAAATGGGGGCTAACATTGCGTATACGCAATGCACGCAGAAATGAAATAAAACCGCCGAGCCTCAACAGAATTCAACTGAGTTGTTAAATTAATTTTTGCTGCAATGCGAATGCAAATCAACTTTTTTCTTCGTTTTAAATGAATAAAGAAGCAATTCAAAGGCCTGACCGACTAGAGAATACCCTATATAGTTGCCCTCTATAGCTTCTTTATGTCACACTGTGCACAGAAGTGAGAAATATATTGCAGCTGTAGTGTGTATGTAAAATGGCTTGAACATGTTAACAGTCTTAACTGTGCTCTAATATTAACACGATCCTAATAAATTTATATCACGTTAGCGAAATATGCAATTGCTGTCATTTTAAGCTTGGCTTAATGTGTAAATAAAATTAATTAATGTGCTGATAATATGAATAGAATTGTATTCTACATGTTTTGCAAATGTTACTAACTTCAGTATTTTCATATAGGTAAAATTTAAGACATTCTGCTTCGATAAACTACAAGAGACACGGTCACTCTGCATTTAGCTTAGGCTTTGAGTGCATTACAGTTATAAGAACCTAACCGTTGTTATTCTGTTGCATGCGTGCGCCATATTCGGCGTAAATGGATTAATACAGAGTATACGTATCCACAATTCACCCTCTTGGCTTTTGGCGGCGGCAGCACACTGTCAATCAAATTGTATGGTAGTCCCGGGCTGTGGCCAAAGGAAGCGGCCACCGCATGCCAAGAGCAAGAGATTTATGACACTAACACAGCCATACTGCAGCACACATACATACATGCATACATACATACATACATACATACATATGTAGTTGCAGTAAAAAAAAATAAAGACAAATCAAAAAGGAAATTTAATTTGCCATGCTTTCTTTGCTGCCGTACAGTTTTTTGTAAACGCAAATCATGTCCTCAAAATAAATTAAAAATAAAAAATAAATTATTAAAAAATGAAAACGATGCCATTTCATGCCAAATTTATATTCCATTTCTGCAGTGCGAATCCAATTGGCGGCCATTTTGTTTATCTGTTGGTCTTGTTCATATATTTTATCAAGAGTTTGCCTTTTCTTTCTATGCGTTCAACTAATTAGTCTGTGTTTTTCTGCATATAATTAAGAATTATTATAAAATTGTAATGGTAAATTATAGAACGCTTCGTTTGAAGTGGAAACTTTGCACATTTCTTAAATTCGAAATGAGATTTTATTTAATTTATTGCATTTCTATTGTTGGGTTCGCTGAATTGCGAATCGTTGATTAAACGCTTATGGTCCATGGCATCATACCAAGTCATAAATAATACAATTTATTTAAATGTAGAATAAAAAAAAAAAAACAATCAGTCGCTTATCAGTCTGTTGAATTTGTTAATTTCAATTATGCATAAAATTAGTTTATTGCCCCTTGGCATTTGAAATTCGTTTCTGACAGATTTCAAACATACATGCACACATGTATGTGAATATTTTTCTGCTCGAAACTATAAAAAATAAAATAGCAAAAGACACAGACAGAGATTTCAATTCATCGCCTAGACCAATAAAAAACAAGGGTATAAAAAGAATACATATACTATATGTATGTATAATCGTTTCTTATCAGCATCCAAGTAGGAAATATATTTGCCTCAGCACACATGCATATACTTCTATACATATATATATATATATATATATACACATATATATATTTATTTTTAATCGCAGCATTGATATGATAGGCCCTTCAGCATCGTATATTTAAGTTATTTATAAATGTATATATTTTTTTTTATGAATATATATTTCGCAAAATATTATTTTTAATTAGTTATAGTTAGTTAAAGTTTGTTAATTGCTCCTGTAATTGGATTTGCATGCATCAGTGCATTTTTGGTGAACCTTTAACGTTTTTATATAATTTATATGTGCATACAAATGCGGCAGGCCTTTGGCAAACATTTAATTGCCAAATGAAACTTAAGGCGGTTTCTGTCAAAGCGTATGTTTTATATTTTATTTAATTTGTTGTTGTTGTTGTTGTTGCTGTTGTTGTGCAAAATTTCGCAGAATTAGAAAGCGTCAGATAAGTGCGTTAATAAAGGCATTTGACTGCATTGGCAACTGCTCCAACTCCATTTGCTGGAGCATTCTGTAATTTGTTTATCGGCCGTCGCAATGTCGGCTTGTGCGGAAACAATGGCCGTCACTGTTTGCGGCAATTTCCCAGAATTTATGAATTATAATTTCGCATTATAGACAATTTTAATTGAGCTTTTTATGGTCTGCGCCGGGGCATGCTGCGCGCTCGGTTCGCACCAGGGGAAGCCCTCATCGCCCTCAAGGGTTGCCAGCTCAGCTCTCTGGAAAAAGTGTAGGATTTCAGCGCAAACAGAGCCATTTGTTAGCCATTTGTACCCGCTACCGATAGCGACTTCCGCTGCCTCAGGACCCGCAGAAGGACTCTAATGACAGACAGCCCGCATCGCTTCATAAAACCAAAATCCAAATGCAAATATTGGCCGCTCAGGGCTGGCCCTGACAAAAGCAAAGGCAAAAAAAATGAGTTTATGATTTTTTAAGCTGTTTGCCAGAGCTCTTCACATTTTGTAGATTTTGTGTTTGCCTTTCATTAACAGAAGCCAACGCACAGCTACGTGGATGAGCAGTTCGCGATCTGAGCTAGGCACAGCTTCCGTCTTGTTTGTCTTGATTAGCTTGGTGACTGGTGGAAATGCCAGGATGCGGATACTCATTAGAGACAATGTAGCGACACTTTTATAGACATCAGCGCAAACATGGTCTAGAGCGTGCATTTAAGTAGCCCAAGCCCATTTTATTTAAGTTTTGTTTTGTTTTGTTTTTTTTTTTTTCTTGTGCGTAACTTAAAATTAAATAAACAATAATACATGCATGTCTACGTAGTGTGGCGTGGACTCTCCACGTTCGAAGGTTTTCGTATGCAAACAAACACGCAAAATAAACCCAACGGCAACGGGCAAACACTTCAACTGCATCCGAGCTGGAAGCTGCCCTGGGTCTGGCTTGGCCTGGCCTGGCCTGGTCGTCAGATCGTAACCCTGTGATCGTAACCGACGCGACTCTCGAATTTGGAATCCTCAACGGCGGTGGCATGTTTGCACCTTTAATAAGACCAACACCAGCCAACATAAAGTCCAATGCCGACGGCAACCTAGACACCGGGTCATTGTGGCACGATCGAAGGGTCACCGACGGCGACGGCGATGCGACGCGACGCGACGCGACGGTAGCTCATAGTTAAATCTTTGTGGACTCTGACTTAAGTAGTATTTACTTTCTGCACGCCCATTGCAATAGAATCTTGAAATACATATGTATTTACATTGTTTTCAGATATTGTTTTTGTGCCTCTTACTTTCATGTACTTCTTGTTTTTTAACAAGATCATCCCACATTTAACAGTTGAACGTTAAATTCGATCAACACAAAAAAAAAAAACCATATATTTTTTTATTGTAGGAAACTAAATTGTTAGCTTATATGCAATAATTTATCTAAATTTGTTTTGATGGACAAGTAGCACGTCGCAAAAATGTGTTTTGCAAATAAGTTCTTGACTCATCTTGAGCCCCAATCCAAAGCGAACCATGGGCTATTTAATTGTAGCGTTAATAGCAAAAATACGTGACTAATTTGCCGGGTGCCGTTGACTCTCTGCTCTCTGCCAGACGGGCTGAGCGGATTCCCGGATGTTGTTATGGCTATTGGTCATAAATCAAAAGTCAACAAATAAATTTAAGCCTGAGCTGAAGATCAGCATTAGAGAGTCAAGTGATAAGCTAGAAACTATTGATAGCTCGGTAAGGGCTCCAATTTTTCGGGCTAGTAAGCGTGCCAACCTTATCAGACGGCATAATTCAATATCATTATTAACAATGCAACTTTGGCGCCCATTAATCTTCAATAATTGCCGAAAATTGATGTCATGCGTATTTGAAAAGCCATTAAAATGACGCAGTAAACATTGATCTAAAAAACGAAACAAACAGAATAGAAATACGCACAGCATCATTCATTGGGGCAGACAACTAAAAGTATTTGTGGAGACAAATTTATGAACGTTTAGCACAAAAGTCAAGCACTCGAAGATAATGTTGTTGAGCAGAGCAACAAATTGCAGCTATCACTGCGGATGCCACAAATGCCTGGCCAGACGGGGACCGGCCACAGATACCGACAGATCGAGGCAGACAAAATAAAACAACAACCAAAAAAACGAGAAAGAAGGGCTATCTTCGGCACGCCGAAGACTTAATACCCTTGTTCATATTGCTTTGCCCGTATCTAAGAAGCACAGGGAAAATAATTAATGCCGAATATGGTTAAGATATCTGGAGAAACAAAAAACTTTTCCATATAACAACTTAGTTTTCGACCGATCGTTCAGCTATATGCAGCTATATGAATTAGTAGTCCGATGTTGATAGGATTTTAAAAATATATGAGGAGCATAGTTAAACTAATAAATGCCAAGTTTAGTCAACATATTTTAATAAACAAAAAAGTTTTTCATACAAGAACCTACTGCGTGTAACAGAAAGAAGCACTTCTGCAAAGTTTCATTAAGAAAACTTTAAAGCTGAGAGACTAGTTCGCATAGACGAATATATATACTTTATGGAGTCGGAGATGTCTCCTGTATGGGTTACACATTTCACGAAAAAATTATAATACTCTTTGCGAGAGTATAAAAAGAAAAAAGAACCGCAACCAAATCCGGGTAAGGGAACATTTGTCGAATGTGTATGATCTTTGGCGTTACTTGTTGCCGCGTTGGCATTGAGAAAATTTGCTCCTGTGTGGCTCTGCCTGTACGTGGTCCCCCCTTTTGTAACTCAATTCGAAAATAATTAACGATCACGAGATTACAAATGTCAAACATAATGTCAAGTTGGGCTGCCTTCGTATCACATACGCTGTCACTGGGAAAATGCCAGGCAAAATGTTCAAAGACGACAAATTCAGAGATACATAAAGAAAAACCACCGAGCCTGAAGCTGAATGAAGCAGCTACTCCACACTCTGCAGTCCCACTCCCAGTGCCAGACCCACTCCCAGATCCAGACCCAGACCAGACGGCAATGCGTGTGGGTCTGCGGCGAGCGCCAGCCGATTTGTTGTGACTTATGTCAAAACAATTGTGTTACATCTTGATGCGCTCCTGAAGTGGATGCTCAGGACTGAGATTTGGGGATCTGATTATAAGAGCTCGAAGTAATTACCTGGCTTAACATATGGTTTAATATATATTAAATGCTAAATGGTTAACTGGCAATTAAAATATATATTCACTATATATTTATATACTATCATATGCATAAGCTAGATCGGAAAGTTTGAGTGGAAAATAATCAGAACAAATAAAAATTAAGATCGCAAACGTAAATAAAATTTTAGAAAGTAGATAAAAAATGATTTTTGAAACATGTATATATGGGGTTCTTTTTTTTAAGTTAGAGAAACATGAGAATATTTTCTAAAATTTATAAAAACTTTCAATTTGTTATATTGTAAATATTTTCTACAAATTCGTATTCGTATTCTCATTTTTTATTTTTTTAAATATGAGAAAAACTTTTGTAACGAGGAAGTTTGAGAAAAATTTTTTAAAAATTTAAATTTTCAAAATTGTTATTTTCTTCATATGAGAACACATTTGTAAAACAAAGAATATTTAAAGAAAATATTTTTTTTAAAACTTAAATTTTATGACTTATTTTTTTTCCAAATATGAGAAAGTTTTAGAAGACATTTTGTGAATTTAGAAGCAGTTTCTTGTTCTACAATGTAGAGAAATTTCTGTAGCTTAGTTTTTTTTTGGTAAATAGAAAGAGTTTTAACCGTTTACCAAGATGCTTAAAACAGCACTAAGCAAATGTGTTTCAGCACGTTGCAGACTTAATTCGTATACCAAATCCCTTGAACGAAATCTTAATTGTAAGTGCATAGATCATTTGGAAACTCCTTTCAGTCGTCAGTGGAAAAGGGCCAAGTTAATAAACAGGTAGAAATATTTAAATTAACCATCAGTTGAGGCTGGAGCTGGAGCTGCGGCTGGAGCTGTGTCAGGAGCTGTTGCTGGGGCTGCAGCTGTGTCAGGAGCTGGGGCTGGAGCTGAGGCCGAGGCAGGAGCTGGAGCTGGAGCCGCAGCTGGGGCAGGAGCTGAAGCTGGGCCTGGGGTCGGAGCTGGAGCTTGAGCAGGAGTTTGCGCTGCAGATGGCGCTGGAGCAGCACCAGCAGCAGCTGGTGTAGGTGCAACTGCTGCAGGTGGAGCTGGCGTGGGTGCTACCATTGTGGGTGCGGCTGTCGCATTCGCCTGACCCACAATAACCGTACAATTGCGACAGATTACTGTTAAGATATATAGATAAAGAGCTATATATACAGACAAAGACAAGTCTTACAATATTCCTTCGAATCGCTTTCGTCGCTGTCATAGTCCCCCAATATGCCTGAGATCCAGTCGTAAATATCGTTTTTCTGCAAAGCTAATTGACTTAGTTGCGAATCTCAGTCGAGCTATAAAGCAAAATAATACCGTTCTTGCTGCACGTTCCTCGGCAGGATTGGCATGCGCTGCCCGAGACCCCAGCGCCAGGACTATATGGAGCAGAACAATAAGTTTAGTTCCAACAGGCATCTTGACTTTAACTGAACTGCGAGCTGGCCGAGACATCGGCTTTTATAGATACCCGCCCAACTGGAGCGCACGGAGTGCACTGTTTTTGTAACGTGCTTGGAACACACTAAAAGTAAATAGTAAATGCTTTTATGATGCAACAATTAGAATTATGTGCGTTTTTACACGAGCTCAACTATTGCCTCGCTTACAGATCCAAGCATATCTGTATCTGTATCTGCAACTGAATGTAAGGCTGTCGAGGCATATATGCTAGAGCTATGCCCAATGCGAATCAACTGTGTTGGGAGCACCGGCTAGTTTATTTATGCAGCTGCACGTTTCGCTTGGCCCATTTGTCTGGCGAATGGCCCCAACTGCGGATTACAACAAAAACTGATCGAAGTGCAATTGACAAATGCGCAAATGCATAACCATAAAGTACACGAAATTCGATGCAGTCTGTTGATGCCGCTTCAGTTGGGGCAACAAGTGTCTGAAGGGTTTCCAATTTGAATTTTGTAACGCGAGACTCTGCAACAGTCCAGCACACACACACACACACACACACACATTATTTTAATTATGGCAATGGGGAGCGCCTCGTTTAAGTACTAGCTACAATATTTCAGTTATGAATGAAAACCAATCGAGGTCGATACACTTGTTTGTTAGTTCCTCAGACGGCTCCATCTTCCACCATCTGCGCCCGCTCCATTCTCCAATGCCTTGCTCTTCGTCCGGCTCCTTTCCGAGTTCTTGCACTTGCAGTTGCACTTGCGGCGCGTGTAACTCGGCAGCCCTATTGTGATTTTTATGGCGCTCTTTGGGGCACTTCTGCTGGCCCTGTACGTGTTCTTAGTTAAAGTTGTACTTCTTGCTGTGTTGCCGTGAAACCTGAGGCTAACTACATGATTTTAAATTGGACGACGCAGATGTGCGAATTTTCTTCGGGCCAGCGGAGCAGGTGCTCCAAACAATAGAGAACCATTGCCATATCAACTATTTACATATAAAAGCATTTAAAGCAAACGCAAAACTTTACAAGGAATATTTATTTTAAATGAAACTACATAAAATTATACTTTAATAGGGAAATAGAACTTTGGCCAGATTTAAATATACAAAATATTAATTTATGTTTTTGTTGATTGAAATATGTAATTCACAGGCTTTTCGATAGATCCGTGCAGTTAGGTTAAGGGACAGCTCCGGCTAATCATTGCGTCGACATACAAAATGCATTTCCGCACGTTCGCCGCATTTATATAGCTTTTTTCTTTCTATGCCGCAATCTTTAGCATGATTCGCACACACACCCACACACACACACACACACACACACCCGCATCCGCAGTTCTGGGAAGCAAAGTGTAGCGATTTTCAGGCGAACCAAAGGTCCATAGACCCCAATCCGCTCCCGGCTTCCCAACCGGAGCTAATTAGACGCAAATGTGCTTTTGTTCGCCCTCTCGTTAGCTCCTCTTGTTGTTGTTGTTGTTTTTGTTGCCTTTTCTATGCTCACACACACATGCACACATGCACACATATTAATACAGAGCTCTCTGCTTCATCTCCTTTCAGAGTCGCAGTGCCCGCAGTACGGCGAAGTGAATCAGCTGGGCGGCGTCTTTGTGAACGGCCGGCCGTTGCCGAATGCGACGCGCATGCGGATCGTGGAGCTGGCCCGGCTGGGCATTAGACCCTGCGACATCTCGCGCCAGCTGCGCGTGAGTCACGGCTGTGTGTCGAAGATCTTGGCGCGTTACCACGAAACTGGCTCCATACTGCCGGGCGCCATTGGCGGCTCGAAGCCGCGTGTCACCACGCCCAAGGTGGTCAACTATATACGGGAGCTGAAACAGCGCGATCCGGGCATCTTTGCCTGGGAGATACGTGATCGCCTGCTCAGCGAGGGCATATGCGACAAGACGAATGTGCCCAGCGTGAGCTCCATTTCGCGCATACTGCGCAACAAGCTGGGCAGCATTGGTCATCATCATAGTGCTGGTAATGGTGGATCCGCATCCCTTGGCATGGGCAGCAACGGCAGCAGCGGCAACGGCGGCAATAGCAATGTTGCAGCCAATGGCAGCGCCGTTCAGCACACACACTCCGCGCACCAGCATCATTATCATCACCAGCATACGGCAGCCGCGGTGGCGGCCAGTGCACATCATGCGCACGCCCACGCCCATCTGTACAATTCCATCTACCAGCCGTATACCGCGGCGGCTGCCTATAGCATGAAGGCCGTCTCCTGCGGCAGTCCCTCGCCGCCGCAGTCGGCGCAGACGCATCAGCTGCGCAGCGTGGCCGCCGCCCACTGGCCCTCGTCGCACTCGGTGACCGACATACTGGCGCATCACCAGGCCGTTGCCCTGCGCGCCAGCTGCCAGGGCAACACAGTCTCTCCGCTGCCGATGACGCCGTCGCCGGTGACCGCCGCCACCGGCGGACAGCCGCTGCTAGACTGCGAGGGCGGAGCGGCACAACAGCCGCCGTACAACTACTATATGTACTTTCAAAATGGCGGCATGCATCATCACCATCACCACGGAGGCATGATGACGGCCGGGGCAACTGGCTTATGAGGCGACGGCTCCCAGCTCCCAGCTACCAGTTCCTCCTGGATCGTTTGATGTAAGTTGGACTGGTTTCGAATCGCGTCCAATTGTAAGTAAGCGCAGCTCGAATTGTTAGTCAGGCATGTGTGAAGGGTTTAACGACGATATATCTATATATATATATATATATACATAATCATATATGATACATATACGAGAATATACTTAGTGTAAGGCTTACTCTAAGGTCCGTACGCCAATGTCCAGCTCGCACGTAAAACTAACAACTCCCACATAAGAATTGACTAAATAGGGTTTAGTTAGACATTGGGCAAAGGGTCTAAATGATTTTAAAATAATTGCTAGGTGTAGTACAGGTGTGCGCCATGGAGCTCTCTGCTTAAACGAATTTGATGTAATTTTGGAGATTTTCTTTTCATTTTTTTTTTTACAATTATAGGCAACTTTTTAATTGTTAAAAAAGCAAAAATAAAGTATTGAGTTGTGTTATAAAATGTATAAACTTTATTAAACCTAGGTTCTTGTTCTCATAATTATTTGTACATTATGCTCTTTAAGTAAATACTAGTTGACTAATTTATGCCATAAAATTCAAAACGAAATTTTAAAAATAAAATTGGTTTCTTTTTCAAGCAAATTATCAATGCCACTTTTATAATAACTATGCGGTAAAGGGGGCTGACAAGAAACATGCTCGGACTGAAGGCGTGGCGCCTTCCTTAAAAAAAATACTAGTTGCAGGCTTATTTTAAAATTTATACATACATATTGTGGTGTAAATATATATGTGAGCCTTAGCTGAATATAGTTTGTTCAAGGGCAACACTCGCTCTCTTGCGGATCTTTCTTGATCCAACCAAAGAAAAAGTAACCCACGCCCAGACCCAAAACCACGGACAAGCACAGCCAATAGTTGAAGTTCATGAAGACCAACATGAGCAAATAGGAAATGATAATTTGCACCAGATTCAACAGAGATTGGATTATGTGCGGTGTGTTCAAAATGCGTTGCCAATATGTCTTCTCTCTGATTTCGGCCAGTGGCGTTTCCGAGCAGCCGCCTCCGCAGTCGTTCACACTGTTCTTCTGGCGCAGCTCCGCGGCCAGCTCAGCCTCCCGGCGCGCCTCCCGTCGAATCAGATGCTCACGCAGAAACTTGAGCAACTCGTAGAGAAAAGAGAGCACGAAAAATGCAATGCAGGAGAAGGCGAACTCGGTAACTGTTGCTGCCACCCAGCCACGCCACAAAATACGCTCACAGTGGCCGCCATGGAACTGTTGAGAGAGGACGAGACATAAATATTGAGACATAACATTGGTCACAGGGTGACACAGGTAAATTAGATTATACGCGAAAGCTAACAGATTACAACATGCATTACCTATCGCCAGAGCACCCGGTATTTCTTAATATCTGTGCATTGCTCAACAAAGCTCTCTGAGTTGAGAGTATGTGAGAGTGAGAGTGCGAGTGCGAGCTAAATTTTAGCATCACAGCCAAACAACTGTTTGCATGTATTTGTACCTGTGCAGAGAGTGTGAGAGATGTGCTCTGAGTGGAATCTGGCGAATGCGAACGAAATTAAATTAAATCTCGGCACTCGCTGCTGAATGCAAAGGAGAGCGACATTAGTTACATCTACAGCAAAAAAATTGGAAAGCAGACGGATATATGTATATACGCCTAACCCCTATAATTGTTGTTGCCATAAAAAGCAGCAGCTGCAGTGAGTGCAATGGAATAGGGCTCTAGTATGAAACTTACCACCATGATCATTGGGCAAGATTTGGCAGCGGTTACAGATTCTGATCCATGATCATCATGGTCCATGGTCATCAAGTCCATTGTAATTGGATTTTGAATACAATTCAATTAACCGCCAAGTGAAAACGTACGTTAAGTGCCTGAGCCTGAGTGATAACAGCGTTGACACTTGCTTAACTGCTGAGAGCGTAACGTTGACTGCTTGGGACAGACGAACGTATGCTGTTTTTTAAAGAAAACCTGACACTAATCCCGCCAAGGCGATAGCCGGTGCGCTTATCTCTGAGAAATTGTTGTTATCAGCAAGCGCGGAGTGCACGCTGGCGATATCATCGATAGCGCGCATGCGAGGAGAGCCCAACGATGTTGACCCCATTGAGTAACAGGTGTGTGGGAGAGAGAGAGAAAAAGAGAGAGCGAGAGAGCAACTGAGATGGAAACGCAAATAAATGTTAATGATAGTCCATCTATTTATCAGTTGCAGATCTGCATGCTGTGTGCAGCTGGCTGTGATCTGGCCTGGATACTTGGTAGAGCATGAAACTTGTATTTTTTTCCTTGAGCAAATTCTATTTCAATATTGATTTATGGATTCTCTGAAGTTCACAAGTGTGGTAATTAAGATTATTGGTAATTGGTCAAAGTATTTATTTTATTGTACGCAGCCAAGTATGTTCCCATGTATGTACGTGCATATTTCTCGAGCGATAGCAACCGTCGACGAGCGAATTTGCTTGATGTCTGCATTAGGCCCTCTTGGCTTTGCTAATGTTTTGTTTCTAACTGGTGCAGAATTGCGTTTGGATAATGGCCGTGCGCAAAAACTCTACGACCGTGTGCAAAAGTTACGGTTATTCTTAGTTGCCGTGCGCAGATTTCGAAAGATTGGTGGCGCGTGCAAAATAAACGGTAAACGATATTGGCTTGGTCTAAATGGTTGCGTTATTGAATAGTAAATTGGTTAAAGCTATTGGCCAAAACTTCAAAAGCTTCAACTAAATTTGTTTGTATTCATGAAATATTCAAAGTGCCTTAACATTTAAAGTGGTCCAGTTGAAATTATTCTCTTGATGCTTTTCATCTTTTAATGGTTTATCTTGATAGAAGTCCACACATCCTGTTACTCTGAAATGAGTTCTTCCACAAATTAAAATTGTTTAGACATCACAATTACCCCTTTCAATGACCTATAATTACTATTTGTTACTATAATTACTATTTTTTCGGTAACACTTTTGAAATATAAAAGAAGTCAATAAATATAATTTAATAAAAGCTAAAATCATTTCTAGAATTATGCTTTCGAATTTGAGAACGTCCATCGAATCTGTTAAGAGCGCGTAATTTGAAATCCCGTTTTTAGCCTTACCATACAAATGTAAAACGTTATTCATTCAATGATGTGGTAGCATTTAAAAATCAATGCAGCAATGTGGCAACTCAGTTGCCTATGCAAAAGTAGGGATATTTTCTAGAATATCGTATGCAGCATTAGGTAAACGATATTTTACTTTAATATTTAAACAGCGATAGCGATGTTTGCTTAATTTTTTTTCAAATACATATAATAGTTGCTAAAAAATGATCATGGTATCGATAACGTCAGCACTGTTCGCATCGTACATAAATTATTTTGAAACGACGATATATCGATACGATATTTGAATGCCCCTATGCAAAGCCCAAGCCTAGAGAAAGAAGTTCTTGCCAAATTTACCATACAGAGTGATTCTGTATTAGATAGATTCTGACTGTATATATTCAATGTGTACATTATTCCAATAAGAAACCCACTAAGCACAGCATTAATATGTTTGCGTTACGACATTTGCGACTACAGGGCAGGGCTAAACCGTATTTGCCATACGCTGCAGCAGCAGCAACAACAACTGTAAAACACATGCCAGCTGTGCCGGCGCGTGTCCACATTGGGCTGCACACACACGCCAGTGACTGCCGCAAGCAGAGACTGCTGATGCTTCAGGAGCACATGGCTAGCTGGAGGCTGCATCAAAGAACTACGACAACACTGTCAGAGTCTTCAGGCCCGGAAAGCAAGGCGCCTTACAAATCATCGATTCTACAGGAATTGGCCGCCGCCACTAAGCCATACGCACAGCTGATGCGCATTGATCGGCCAATTGGGACGTACTTACTCTTTTGGCCCTGCGGCTGGAGCATTGCGTTAAGCGCTGATGCCGGCTGCTGGCCGGACTTTACCATGCTGGCTCTGTTTGCGACGGGCGCGTTGATTATGCGCGGCGCCGGTTGCACCATTAACGATATGTGGGACAAAGACATCGATGCCAAGGTGGAGAGGACGCGCACACGTCCGCTAGCTTCTGGGCAAATCACGCAACTCGATGCGATTGTGTTTCTCTCGGCACAGCTTAGCCTTGGCCTGCTGGTGCTTGTGCAGCTCAATTGGCAATCCATATTGCTGGGCGCCAGTTCGCTGGGCCTAGTCATTACGTATCCACTGATGAAGCGTGTCACCTACTGGCCGCAACTTGTGCTCGGCATGTGCTTCAACTGGGGCGCTCTGCTGGGCTGGTGTGCTACCCAAGGTAGCGTTAATCTGGATGCCTGCCTGCCATTGTACCTGTCTGGTGTTTGCTGGACCATTGTCTATGACACCATCTATGCGCACCAGGACAAGCTGGATGATTTGCAAATTGGCGTGAAGTCCACAGCGCTACGTTTCGGAGAGAATACAAAAGCCTGGCTCTCAGGCTTTACGGCTGCCATGCTGGCGGGCTTGTCGGCGGCCGGCTATGCCTGTGACCAGACGCTGCCTTACTATGCCGCAGTTGGGGTCGTTGGAGCACATTTGGTGCAGCAGGTGCGCGTTCTATGGAGTAAATGCATTGGCTGGCGAGTTAACTCTCACTATTTTACAGATCTACTCACTCAACATAGACAATCCCAGTGACTGCGCCAAGAAATTCATTTCGAATCATCAAGTGGGCCTCATCCTGTTTCTGGGCATTGTGCTGGGCACTCTGTTGAAATCGGAGGATAACAAAAAACAGCGCAAAGCATCGACAGCAGCCGCAACTACTCCCGCATATGTACCCTTACCGCAATCACAGCCAGACGTTATAAGCTGATATGTTTTATGGTTGTGATGTTAATTTAATTTTCATCTACCATTTGCGCTTTCGCTTCGCACTAGACCAAAGTCTGTAGTTAGCTAAATAGTTTAATTATTGTATATGGTTTTATTTTGTATTAGTAATTTTAATGGTATTCAATGCAGATTGTTGTGACAATATTAAAAAATACCTCGGGAAAAGACAAAGAACGTTTCATCTGTGCACGCTGCTTTCAGGCTTAACGACCTTCAACCTTTGCAAACAAACTGGTTTCTGTATTAATGCTTAATCGTTAGTTTTAATTACAAATACAGATTATGACGTTTGTGTGTTGTAAGACAAATACTCTTCATGTGTATTCTTTTCAGCTAAGAGAAATTGGTTGAAGTTGTACATAAGTGAAATAAACTAGTTAGTAGAAATGAAAATTATATTAAATCTGCCACATTCATCGGCATCTCGTCGATTTGCGTTGAATAATATTGCTCAATATCACGCAAAATGCGTATATCATCGGACTTTACAAAATTAATGGCCACACCCTTGCGTCCAAACCGACCCGAGCGACCGATGCGATGAATGTACAGCTCACGATTGTTGGGTAGGTCGTAGTTGATGACCAAGGACACCTGCTGCACGTCTATACCACGCGCCCACACATCGGTGGTAATGAGCACACGTGACTGTCCAGCTCGGAACTCTTTCATGATTTCGTCACGCTCCTTTTGCGGCATATCGCCGTGCATGGAGCTGACCGTGAAATTGGCTTCGCGCATTTTCTCAGTCAGCCAGTCCACCTTGCGCTTGGTGTTACAGAAAATGACCGCCTGTGTGATGGTCAGTGTGTCATAGAGATCGCATAACGTATCGAATTTCCATTCCTCGCGCTCCACGGCAACAAAAAATTGTTTAATGCCTTCCAGCGTCAATTCATCACTGCAATGGAATTGGTTTAACAATAAGCCACAAATGCTCTTATATATTACTCTCTTTTTACCGTTTGACCAAAATTCGAATAGGATCCGTCATGAATTTAGATGTCATTTCTAGAATCTCGTGCGGCAGGGTTGCAGAAATGAGCACAACCTGCGTAGCTGGCGGCAAATACCGGTAAACATCATAGATTTGTTCCTTGAAACCTTTGTTCAACATCTCATCCGCTTCGTCGAGCACCAGCATTTTGATCGCTCTACGGGATTTACACATGTTAGATATGTCAGCATGGTGGGTTATCAAATAAAGAGGTAAAACCTTACCTTGTGCGCAGAACACGCCGCTTGATCATATCGAAGACACGACCCGGTGTTCCACTCACAATATGCTGACCGTAATCCAGCTTGCGTATGTCCTCGCCCAGATTTGTACCGCCAATGCACACATGACACTGTACGTTCATCATATCGCCCAGAGCAAGAATGACCTTTTGGATTTGAACAGCCAACTCGCGTGTGGGTGACAGACACAGCACCTGTGTCTCACGCAGCGTTGTGTCCAGGCTCTGTAGTATGGAAATGGAAAATGTGGCAGTCTTGCCCGTACCGGACTGCGCTTGTGCTATGACGTCCCGCCCCTTTACAATTGGCTTGATGCTGCGCTGTTGTATGGCCGAAGGTTTTTCAAAGCCTACATGGATTATATATATTATTATTAACGAGTCTCTTCATGATGCATACACACACAAACACTCACCGTACGCGTAAATGCCGCGTAGCAGCTCCTCCTTCAGGTTCATGGCATTGAAGGTGGGTATCACCTCAACGTCTTCGCTAGTCTCAAACTCCACGTTCGAGAGATCCTCGGCCTGTGCATTCTTGCGCGCCATTTTTAGCTTGTGCTTGACTTAAGAATTCACAATAAAAGTTTTACCAAGAGCAACGCGAATTTTCTAAATATTTTTTCTATAACTTTCATGCGGCTTGGGGATGGAAAATAGAAACAAACTCAGCTATCGATAGCGAAGCGTCGATATATCGATAGCGGTTGAAATCAACACTGCCAGAGTTGCCAATAAGAAGGTGGGAATTTATTTTAATTTGAAAAGACCGCGCTTTCATTGCGAGCTTCATATGTTAAATTAAATTTTTGTAGCATCTTTGTGCTGATATTTATGGATTCGCTTTGTGTTTAACACATCAGTAAAAACTCTTATCTGCATTTATGTTACTCGTATAAAT